GAGGGATGTTGCATGAATGGGGAGGGGTCCCCAGGTTTCGGGGTGGGTCCTGGGGTTCCGGGGGGGTGTCCTAGGTTCTCAGGGGGGGTCCGAATATGGGGAACGCGATTTTCCGAGGGGGAGAGGGGAGGGAGGCGTGTGGGGAGCCCCAACGCTTCGGGGCGGAGGGGGGGGGGGGGGGGGGGGGGCGGAATTTAAATATTAGTAGAAAAAAAGTAGGAATTTTCTAAAAAATTTCACAGGAAATAGTATATGGAAAAGGAGAAAATTATGAAGTACTGGTCATCCCCTACTGTTTTTTCATCCAGCTGTGTTTATAGCCTTTGTCTCTGCTTTCCTCCCTACCTTCTCTCTCATCCAAAAAGTGCTCAGACCGTGCACCTCTTTCTGGCTATCTGCCTATTCTTTCCCCAGGCATGGACTTATTCCAGACACTTGCAGTTAAAGAATACTCTATGATGTTACGGCGATGCAAGCTGACCATAGCTAAGCTGACTGCAGCAATATGGCATGACTTCGACCACAAAGATTTGACCCAATTACTGTGACCTGACACACTTGCAATCTAGTACATCCTGACGTCCCAAAGCAATAGCCCCCGAAACCACTAGAGACTTATGTGAAAGCTGGAACCAAGCAGAACAAGACTGAACTAAACCCAGGAGAAAGGCACTCCAAAAAAATGCCATTATATTACATAGTTTGTTAATACTTGCTTACTTTGCTTGTTAGAAGACATTGGATGAGATATCCACATGCTTTTTAAGAACACAAGTCTTAACACTCCAGGAGGAAACAAGGGAGTTTACTATATCCTCTTCTGAAACATTCAAAAATTTGAATATATCTGAAATATTGAAACATTAGGGACACAATGCAGTCTGTGTGCCAAATGAACAGTATGTAGCGAAGCTCCACTGCAGAGCAAAGTGGTGGTCAGGCAATGTGCAGTACTTGAGCAGGTCCATGCAGTGTTCTGCAGTTGTGCCTGTAACAGCAAGGGGTTACGCTGCAGTAGCTGGGACAGCTATAGAGGAAGGTAAGGAAACATTTAATGTGCACAGCCTTTGTGCCTAAGAATCACATCTGCAAATCATATGCAGTAGGGTTTTCTCTGGTGATTTTGCAACATTCATAATATAATGAACTCTTGGTTTTGTGGTTTTTTTGTTTTTTTTTTTTTTTTTTTTTTCATTTTTACAGCATCTATAGAGCAGGCTTTAAAATCTTTTTCCTCCCTCCCTTAAAATACCAACGTGACATGTCCTTGCTCCATGAGCACCACTGGGTGGAACACTGCCCTGACATGGAACATTTGCACCTGTACATTACTGCAATCATACTGAAAGTCACAATATTGATTCCTTGGAAATCAAGCAACAGATAGAAGATAAAGCAAGAAAAACTGTCAAAGTATCAAATCTCAGTAAAAACAACCACAAAAACAGAAGTAAGGTACTTGGCATTGCTCATTGGCTTTGTCTCTGAAAGCTCCTGAAAACTGCATGCAGAAACTTAGGAAATCTAATCCCATAATAGTCCAGGATCTCATCCAGTATAGATTCTCAACTCCATATAGGGCTACACTATATTCTTGCATGGATACCATTCAGAATCCTGCATAAGTTTGGGGCTTGTTTTGCCCTTCTGTCAGTACCACTTTTCTGCTTTTGATGCTGGAAGACTTCCTGGCTTGGAATATGAACACAGGGACAGCTGTAAAAGGCCATAACAAATTCCATTTAGCTCTGTATCCCATCACAGACATTGGCCTGCAGGGATGCTGAAGAAGTGGTATAAGAATAGGATGGAAAGGTGAAGTAATACTTAAAATAAGCTGTCACTCTCTCATGTCACAGTTCAGAGACTACTTGACTTTAAAAAAAATTAAAAAAAAAAAAAAGGAAAAAGTAGTGCCGTGTGCTGCTGCCCTGTGCCGTGACAGTTACCAGCTGCCTTCCCCAGTTTCCAGTCTTATAAAAGTTTGTGAACAAAGCTTCTTGCTGCATCTTATCTATTTTTATCTCCTTCATTGTTGTTCACTACCATTGAGAACCAGAATTCCTAAACTGAAAATCAAATTATGTGCTATTCCTGGAAAAAAAGTAATTATCCAAATGCAAGAATATTCCTTACAAATCTCAGCAGCTCAGCATCTTTATTCCAAAAGAGAAGTCATGGATAACCACACAATCAAATTTGGCAAGCTAGAATCTAGAACTAGACTTAAAATTAACCACTCAGGGCTTATCTATGAGGCCAAATTAACCATCAGATTACTTTGAAAATTGCTATCTATTCCAAGTTCATTGCTTGTGTGTAGATATAAATAAATGTGTACTACCTAGAACAGTAATGACTGGTGACTAAACGTACCCTGGAAATTCAGCCCTGAATACTTTTTTCTCATCGAATCCTTTGTTCTGTCAGCACGTTCCAGGAAGTTATTTCTGTACTTCAGAATAGTAAAAATGTATTATGATTCTCTATTACGTTTTTTTTACTAGAATATTGACTTCTATGCATTTAGGAGACAAAGCTGCATCTCCAGTGGAAAAGTGGACTCCAACAAAAAGGTGTGCTTTGCTGTGACTACCATTATTGATAATCTAAAAGAAGTTCTTTTAGATAAGACTCTTAAGTCTATAAAGCAGCAATCTTGGGGGGTAGATGCAGATGTGGGGACTGGCTGTACGTGAAACAAATAATGAGAGGTTTCATAATCACTTTTCAGAGGCAGATCAGTGAAAAAGGCAATTCCAAACAACGTTTTGACAGGAAACATAAAAGAAGAGACGAAAATGCAGAGGCAGCAGTGGTGAAGCTGCCAGGATACAGACTCCCAAGAGACTTCCCAGCTCAAGGGAACAGCTGGAGCCTTGCTCCCTCTACTGGAGCATTCTAATAGACACACAGGAGACTTGCTCGTTCTCTTGACCTAGAAAATAAAGATTAATGCAGGGTTGATTACCATTGCTGGCTTACTATCACAAGGATTTTTTTTAAGGTGTGAATATGTCCTTGAATATGCAGAAGGTGGCAGAGGGGAGAGAGCTATTTCATTGCTTTTTGTTTTGAAAAGAAACAAAATAAGGCTCACAAGTTGAAAAGCGTATTTTTCAAATTAATCTATTTGTATCAGTTGGGTTGAACTGGAACACAGCAAAAGCAAGCAGACCTTTTCAGTGTCTCATGTAATGCAGAAGAACAACTCTTGTTATATGACCTTTGCTCTAGGACAGAGTACTCGCTGTCATTCCTGTAGCCACGTATAGAGAAAACCACCTGCCTTTTTGAACTGTATGTTCTTTTTGAGTACAGCCTGGCCTTAAATACTCTGCCTTATGAATAAATAGCCTTTTCCTACAGCAAACAGCAAGTAAACCTCCCCTAAAGTGTCTTCAGACGACTACAATGCCATCACTTAGTTATTTAGTGTTCATGCTGGATAATATAAGTCATAGTAGCATGATGCATAACAACATCAAGAAATCATGACTCAGTCACTGACACAGCTCTGTTGTTGCTTGCAATAGTGGCTGAGGCTCCTCTTTCTCTTTTGTAGAATTAGGGCCGCCTTTGGGCTCTGAGACACCCCACATGACTTCGCACAAATTGCAGGATCTTGCACCTTGCAACTCAGCTTTCTGTCTGCTAAATAAGAGTCAAGAGCACCTTACTCCTTCATGCCTTTTTACAATTTAAGTTACATAGCTTTGGTGTGGAATCCATCTCCTCCTGTATATAATGTCCACCATTTGGTACAAACACCTCCAATTTTACATTAACTTTATAGGCATAATAGTAAAATATTTGACTAAAAACTCAGCTAGATGCAAACTAATGGATTTTATGGCCTCTCCAGTTTAAATAGCTTCTGTCATCTTCAGTGAACACTTTGGTCCACTGGTGACCACCTTACAAATTCAATGGAGGAAATGGAAGCCAAGTTCTGCAGCAGTGACAAAGAGGAAGCTTTCAAAAGAGAACTACCATACTGCATAGGAGAAATAGACTTCACAGCTTCTGGGAAGAAACGTGGAAAGGTACAGCACTGAGTAGTTTTAACCCTTTAACACTGTTGCTCTTGTTTGGCTGTTACTTCTTAGTATTAGATACAGAGACTGTAACAGTGAGGGTCAATGTGCCAGAGTGTGAGGCACCACATTGTACTCAAAGTAGGGACTATACTTTCCTGAACATGAATGTGATTAAAATAAGGGCCATTAATATACAGAAATCAATCGCTTTACTTGCACTGACCTTCTACAAGATCACTTTTTCCTTTAAAAAAAAAATAGTCATATGCCCATCTTCCTTCATTTTGCATCATTTCCCTCTTTTAACCTCTTTCTGCCAAAAATTAATCACTATGGCAACATTTCAAACATACTTTTGAGCTGTTTCAAGACTCTTCTTAAAGGTCTCTCTCTCTGTTCTGCTGATACACAGAGAAGGATGTACAGGGACAGACCCACCTCCTCACTAGTCCCTTACATACATTAATGTTAAAGCAGAAGGAATTCCTAGGATCAGAAATCTGCCTTAAGATTTTGTTTGATTGTAAAGTCTTAAGCGCAAAACCAAAATATATACAGAAAAGGAAGAGGTGATAAATTCATGTAACGTCCTTGAAAAACAGACATGGAATCAGGCAAATATTTCAGCTAGTGCAGAAACAAGAAGTCTCCAAGAAATTTGTTGGCTTTGCTAGACTGCCATGGAACTGAAGGCAGTTCAAGGGGAATTGCAGCAAAGGAGAGAGAGAGATGTCAGTCTGCAACACAGAATTAACCCATGGAACTGACCCAATTAGCAAGAGTACAATTGTGCAGAAGCCAGCTAAATTAATCCTAATATTTAGTTTTCAGTAGGTCTTGCTCAAAATCTTTTTTCTTAAATAACCAAGCTGAGGATATATTTCCCTCTGCATTCACCATGAACAATATCTCTACTGTATTCTACTGTCCCATTAACTTCTTTTGTTTGTTTGTTTGTTGAAGTTTATTAAGGTCCCAAGTACCATTCACCCTGGAATTATATTTGAAGTTATGCTCAACAAATGGAAGCTACCTGCTCCCAATTTGGTTGTCTCTTTAGTAGGGGAAGAAGAAAATTTCCAGATGAAGCCTTGGCTACGGGACACCTTAAAAAAAGGACTTATAAAGGCAGCTCAAAGCACAGGTCAGTGCTTTATGCTTTAGAGGAGGAATTTATATTCCTAATGGATTCTCACACCTAGCATCCGGTGATCTTTTAATGTCAATGGGACTGCTCACATGGTTATTTTTGGAAGTTCAAGGCTTTGCTGAATGTAACCGACAACCTGTATTGGAAACAGCAAAAATAAGTAATTTCAAAACAAATTACTCTAGGCAACTGTTCCTGAAATGTAAAATTATCTGACACAATTCCCTCAGAGATGGCATCAGAAAGATAGAATGAGATGGGACCAAATACATTGTCGCTCTTCGGTGCTATAGCAAAATAATTCTTAAGACAGCATAGCAATTTGACTTCAACAGGAGTGAATTTCGGTCAAAAATAAGAATTCTTGTTTTCTCTCCCTTTTTAGCTACCATTCAAAATAATGTTATAATAGTTTTTATTTTTTTAAGATTGTTTTCTTCAAATCCTAGAGTTGAACAGATTTTGTAGGTAAAAGATCCTATGATTAGACTCAAGTTTAAACAAAAATACCTTGGCAATACACAACAACAAAATATGTCAGCTCAGTTTCTCCCTGCCAGTTCACATGAATGACAAGAGTAGTGAAAAGCATTTAAAAACAAACCCAAACAAATGCAAACAAATGCATGGAAGTGGCTTTCATTTAAGAGGACATTTTCCCCCATAACTTTATGAAAATACCTGCAAAATGAAGTAAAAATATGTGTAAACGTAAACATTTCACAGCAAGCTATTGGCTTAGCTCCACTGCTCCGGACAAGATTGTAACAGTTTTGCTTTTTGTAATGAAACAGTCTGGTACCAAAGCTCTTCTAGAAACTTCCGTACCACACAGATATTCTCTCTCTCCAGCCACCTTCCATACTTAAGACTGGACAGTGTATGTTATCTATTTGAAAAAAGGTTGGTTAGGTGTTTACCTAGGGTTCTTCAAATTCCTTGTCATCATAACAATGCTGCTGTAAATCCTACTGTCCCGAAGATTTCACTCTCCAACCAAGAACAAGAGAAAGAGCCCCAGATTAAGCAGGTTGTGCCCAAACCCTTCTGCTACCAGGTGATTGCATGGGGCTGTTTAGCCCTCAGTTCAAGCCAACCACTTCCTCCACCCCATTCCTTTGCTCTTCCTCGTGCAACAGTCAGACCTGCTTGGTATAGTGATGTTTCTGCTCATATTTAGGCAGTAAGGGACTCTAGACTGGACACAGCACTCTCGATGGGCGTACTGACATCAGAGTAAGGACGGCAACATTGCATCATGTGATATGTGAAGCACCTTTGCTTGGGCATAGAATTTCTTCTTGTTTTCCTTATTGAAGTCTTACATACTTTATATGTATTTCAATTCTAAAAGTTACAGTCCATCAAGACCTGTCTACAGTTTATCTATCTAAAAACCCCCTTAAATCCAGTACTGCAAGTAACGTTACTTGGCACACAAACATGTTCAATTAAAAAGAAATTATCTAACTATTTTTTAAAAATAATTTCAGGTGCCTGGATTTTTACCAGTGCTTTACGTGTAGGAATAACAAGACATCTAGTGCAAGCAGTCCGAGATCATGCACTGGCTAGCACTTCATCCAAAGTCAGAGTGATTGCCATAGGAATAACTTCACTCAGAAAAATTCAGCACAGAGAAATTCTGGATAACACAAAGGTATTTTTCGCTTATTCTACTTGTGGCACAGGATTGTTCAGAAGTAAGCTGCGCCTTTACTAAAAGCAGAAGTATATAAAAACAAAAGTGGAATTTAAAGTGGACTTTGGGGGAAAACAGAAATAAAGAGCAGGAAGAATTGTTAGACCGTAATGATTTTGTGCAGCAATCCTGTAAATGTCCAGCAGGTGACAGCATTAGACATCAGCTCAACGACCAGAGGTAAGGATGAACGTCGGGTGGGGAGAATTAAAAAAAAAAATAAAATAAAGAATCACACCTCATAAGTTACTTTTAATACTTTTCCCCTTGTCCACTTACTGCAGAAGCACTTACTCCACGCTATTTCATAAATACTGTTTTCTTGGCACATAAGGCATAAATATTTCAAAACCAGATTTTCCTAAGTGGTCACTGAATTGCTGTCTAATATGCAAAAACTTGCTTAACGCAGCACGCCAGAAACGCTGGCCATGCAGGATTACATCTAGTTATTGGGAGCTCTAGGGACTTCACAATTCAGGTCAAAGCAATCAAAGTTCTTGGGGAGAAAAAAACAACCAACAAACCAGAAAATCCCCACAAATTAAAAACCTCATCCAACAAAACTTGCTGAAAGCACCAAGACAAGTTGGGGCTGAACTGATCTGGAGAAAAAAAGAAAAATATGGCATGACCTTCTTGCCAGTGTACATACAGTCTGTCCTAAGGAAACTTTTATAACAATAAAGTAGGTGTGTAATGACAGTTCCTCTGTGCTATTTTCCTTCCCTGCAGAAGCTAAGAAACAAACGACAAACCCAGCCCTTTGAACTCACACCTGGTTCTTCTCTCAGGCAGGCTAGCAAGCACCAGCTAGCAAGTTATTGTCATTGGGCTTCCCCTTTTCCTGTCCTTAGCCAAGGACAGCTACCTGTGTGCTCTACCAGGTGGGACTCCTTAGCTGGAAGACTTTAACCTATTTGTGTAGCTGAACTGGCCCAAAAGGACCTCAGAGGAAAGAATTCGGTTTGTTGTGTTTATGAATTTTGTTCATAGAAGTTGCTTTGGCAAATGTAAAGTAAGTATTTCAACTCCCTCCCAGGCTACGTGGTCAAAATGCATCTGGATCTTTCCCAACCAGCAGCTACAAAACAAGTGCTCTGGCCTTTTTATTGCATTAGATTTTCTCCCCCTTATCTAAGGCCCAAATCCTTTGTCAAGGAATATTTTACATGGAGCGTTCCTGGCCCTGTGACTTTTGGCACCGCTTCCACCCAAAGACGTTCTGGATTTTAGTCAGTAACTTTAAGACAAAGGAACTATAGACAAGGATGTTGATCTAAACCTAGTTCTCTTTAGACTTGGCACTAACACAGGCAGCTTGTTGTATAAAATAGAGCTAACAATCCACACTGGCAAGGAGAAAAACAAGCCCTGAAATCAGTGGATCCCTCCCATCTCTCTTGTGTTAATTGCATGCTTTAAACATTCCACATTTTTAGAGAATAAATACGAAAATCCCTGAGGGACTTTTTCAATTGGTTGTTGTGCCTCCGGGTCCTAATCAAAGGCCAGATCTTTGGCAAGAAGGCTTAATGTTACATGGCAGCAAAATATAGGCACGCCCTCTGTCAAAACAAAATTTGAAGGCAAATTAGTTGTGTCAAGAAGCTTTCCCCAACAAATGAGAGACAGCGAGGAGGTGGTAAAACAAATTAGTGGCACCTGCTGTTGGAAAGTACATGCGAAATTACTGCTTTTTTTTCCTGGAACAGCCTCTGATGTTCCTACACTTCCTGGAGCTGCTGACAGGGAAAGAAGCCACGGCAACATGCCTGATTATAGTCTTTTTCACCTTGTTTTGAAGGATATTTCTCTTCTCCAGTTTGACTGTATGCAACTTCATTTCAGAAAGCCACTTAGGGGCATGCTATGCAGCGCACTCAACTCTTCTATCCACAGCATGAAGGAACTTCTCCTCTGGGTGATTGTCGTGATTTAACCCTAACTGGCAACCAGGACCACGCAGCTGTTCACTCGCTCCCCCCGCCTCCCTGCGGGACAGGGGAGGAGAATTAGAAAAAAAGGAAACCTCCTGGGTTGAGTTAAAGACAGTTTAATAGAACAGTAATGGAAGAGATAATAATAGCAACAATAATGATAAAAGAATATACAAAATAAGATATGCAATACAATTGCTCACCACCAGATGATCGATTGCCCAGCCCATCCCAAGCAGTGGTTGCAGATTCCTGCCTCCCTGGCCACCCCCATGTACACACTGAGCGTGACATCTATCATATGGAATATTGCTTTTGCCAGCTTGTCCTGTCTACGCTCCCTCTCAGTTCCTATAGGCAGCTGAAAGGGTCCTTGATTTAATATAAGCACCACTTAGCAACAACCAAACCAGTATGTGTTATCAACACCATTCTCGTACTAAATACAAAACACAGCAGCTACTAGGAAGAAAATTAACTCTATCTCAGCTGAAACCAGGACAGTTACTTAATTTTTTTATGCACTAGTACTATATTTGGTGCAATATTTTTCAGAGCCCAAGAAGGAAGCTTCAGAGATTTTCAAATAATATATTCAAGTTTCTCAAAGGTGGCGTGCTATATCAAGGAACAGACAACACAAAAATGGAGATGAAGCACATGAAAACATGGGCTGAGTTTTGTAGCAAACACTAACATCTCTCTTCCTGTCTCTAGAATGACTGTCTTGTACGCTACGAATCAGATGATAATATCCAAGGCCCACTGTATTCCCTGGATCACAACCATTCCCATTTTATTTTGGTGGATCACATAACACCAGATGAGCCAGATGGAACCACTAAGCTACGTCTCACCTTGGAAAAGCATATTTCAGAACAGCGTACTGGATATGGTGGTAAGTAGACTTTATATAGGCATGCTAACTTGAATTATACTGATATCAAAGTGATTCCTGTGGGCCCCGGCCTTATCAAAGGCCAGTCCAATTCTCAAATTGTACAATCATCTACAGAGGCAAGATCAAGTAAACACATTTGTCATTATGTAAGAGGCAGAACTAAGGTGACTTCTGAAGTTGAGAAAGCTGCTCTTTGAACAAAAAAATTCTGACTTTTATCACATCTCCTTAAACATAGCTCAAAGCTGATCTTCAAAGCATAGCTCAAATTGCATAAAAACACAACAAATGGAAAATAAATCCAGCTTTAAGTGCCTTAACCAGTGGCTCCAAGAGATGGACGTTCATTGTTGTGTACTTTTATCCTCTCTCACACACAGGGTCTTGAATTGCTCCCACAGTGGAAGAAAAGACTTGTTCCAAAGGCCTCTGAAATATTTGAAGTCATATTTATTTCAGGATAAAATTTTATCCTGGGTAAACAATGTAGCATCTAATGGCCATCTAAGTCTACGTGACCTTTGTTTATAATGAGACCTGAGTATTGGGCAGGCCTCCTATTGCTATTTGAGAAAATAATTCAGTTGTAGTGCTAATACAATTACTTCTACCTTCCCTTTGTTTCTGTAATACCTGCAGTGCTAGCACAGGGGAAACAGAAGGGAGGGCTCACTTATTCGCACTTGTATGCATCAATGGAATATTCAATTACATAGCCTATGGTGTGGTTGCACAGATGTACCTGAGAACATGAATACACCCAAAGAATGCTCATCTGGTGACTTGGATAGGAAAGACCACAGGTGGCCTGTAAGGGTAGTCTGAGGTTGCAGTGCTGAGAATTAGAAAGCAGCCTCTTTCTGCTCACAAACAGAATCTGATTGAACAAATCTCAGTGGAACAGTTTTCCAACAAAAAAAATGTTGATTCATGAAACAAATATTTCACTGGAACACGCTGAATTCAGTGATATCTTCTATAAACAAAGCCAATATCATTAATCTAAGCTCATTTATATTCAAAGCCAGCAAAGCTATGTGACTTTACTGAAGAAAAACACTTTAATAAGGTCATGCAGAATCTCCCTATTTTAAAAAATACCTATAAATTATCCAGAGGAAATTTTTTTATATGCTGAATATTCTTTCCAGTTAAGGACTTCCCACCTTCAAGTCAGAATCACACACACACTCTGCCCCTTCTCCAGCTAAATTTTATCTAAATCCATGGTAAATGAAGAATATTTGAAGCCATAAACATATGTTGTGGAACCTGCAATCACAGAGGTCATTCTTCAAACTAGAGCATCACCTCACAGGGCTATGCTATGTCATTTACTAAAACAAATGAAGTTACTTGCCAATTATGTCCTGGCTACAGCTCAGTTCTACCTTATCTCTGTAGTGATCCCACTACAGATCCAACACATAACAATTGAAGATCTGTACACTGCTCTGGGAGACCTACAAAGGGAAACATCAAAAAATTGTTTGAACCAAATGCCTTTTATCTTCCAACTGGAAGAGGTATTCATCTCATGATGCTAGTGTTTTGAGTGAGCTCCTTTAGGCCAATCTATAGTCACCTTCGGATTACAGAGTTCAGCATTTACAGTATAAACCGTCTACAAATAAGTGGGTGGATGGCTAAGACAGGGAAGCCTACATGATTTCTTCCCTTGCTCCCCATGGCATGTTAAATATTTCATTTAAATTTATTTATTTTAAATTTATAAGATTATGTTATTCATGTTATTAATAATCACCACATTAGACTGTGCTGAATGGAATTTTAAACTGTTTAAGCACAGTAACAAAGAGTATATGGTTTCTATCAATTCATGTCTGACTCATCTCACCTACCTGGTCTACATAGTTAGCCTCTTCCTTTTATCAGGCTTTTCTCTTGGATTCCACTACACTTTCCTGCACATGCTATAGACATGCATAACACCTGGGACAAACTGACAGCTTTTGACTTCTAATGTAGCTTAATATAAATAATGGTAGCTGCCTCTCTGAAAACCTAACAGTCTTGCACCATAGTGCAGCTACATTACTCCACTATCTGATCACTTTGCAGTAAATAAATAGCTTTAAAATTCAACAGTAGTATGACATACAGAAGTGCCAATGTCCTCATTTAGCAGTTGAGGTGTACCGAGGTGAGAACAGACTGGACTGCTTGCTGGGGATCACGCAAGACATCTGAGGCAAAGGTGCCTTTGTCCAGAATCTTAGACTAAGACCCTATCTGCCAGGTCACAGTGTCATTCTCTTCTTTCGCCACTTGCTTCTGCAATTGCCTGCTTTCCACAGGCTGGTAGGTACCAAACCAGCATATAAGAGGAGAAGTATTTTCAAGGCGTCAGTAAAAACACAATAGTTTTGTGAAAGCTGCTACCTTTTTAAAAATTAAACCATCTATTTCACAGGAACGGGTAGCATTGAGATCCCTGTACTTTGCTTACTGGTAAATGGAGGACCAGGCACACTTGAGGTAAGAAGCTGTTTGCAACTTTAGAAAAATTAATTAACTGGTGCTAAGTAATTAATGGAAAATTAATGGAAAATTAATTGCTGGATGGCAAACACAAGTACTGGCACTTTACATGAAGTCAAAATTAATATCTATACAGCATTAAGAACTGAATTCTGTTCATAGCAAATTTGCCAGTATTTGTTTGGGAGAAATATTTCCTTTTGGATAGGCACCAGCTGATCATTAAAGCTTCCATTGCCAGCTCATACAGTGAGAAGAAGGAATCCAAAACCAAAACAAATCCGCAGAAGCCAGCTCCAGTTCTAGCAAAGTAGAAATACTCTGCTATTACTCAAGATCACATACAAAAAAAAGATGAATCATTCAGCGCTGTCTAGAAACACTGAGACGACTGTCTCTGTCACAGAGCTCAGAGGAAGTACAAGATCAGGCTTGCTAGATATGCCATTTAAAACTACTGTGTCCCAGTTCCACTGAGCAAAAATACATTAGAGGATAGAAGGCTGGGTAGTTGTCTGCTAACAATCCCATACCTTCTTCAGCAAAGGATGTTTTGATTTTTTCCTGAGTAGTTCTACAACTTGAAGAACCTGTTAACTAGGAAATAGGTTTTGATTTCTGTTTTAGTTTTACTGGTATTTTATTTTGCTACTTTGTATGTCCACACAGCATTTTTTTAATAATACTCCCAGAAGAAGAGGAATACTCTACAGTATCTTTAGGAAGACATTTAACCATAATTTAAAGTTTCCAAGTGATGAGACTCTGTGACACAAGCTGGCAACCTCTTTCAGAACAATGACTCATTTCTAGTGATGTTTTCTAGTCTTGTCATATCTTTGTCAGCTGGTATAAAACACACACTACTATCAGAAATCTCACTGTTTAAACCAGGATTATGTCACCTCTTGAGCTTTCCTTCTAGAAGCTAAATATGGCAGTTTTCTCTATATCCTGGGTGCTGAAAAATCACATATCACAATGTATAAATCCTCTTTTCAAAGTTCTAGAGAACAAAGAGACTCGGAAAGCAAAGGTGACTGTTTGGAGCTGCCCTAAATTTACACATGCTGGGAATGAATAGCCAATTGTGCTTTTTTAGAATATAAATTTCTTAGATACAAATTGGATAACACATACCAAGGATTACAACAGTTGTTAAAAAAAAATAATGAAAAAACTAAACTAAAAAAACCCACCCTTATACAACAGAGAATCAATAGTTGGATTCTTAGAAACTCATTAGCTTCTTGCATACATCTAGAGTAAGAAGTAGATGGGCAGCAAATAGTCATTGTCGCAATTATGATGCTTTTGTCTCTCAACAACCTGCCTGACTCATTCTAATTGCATAAGTAACAGAAGTACCAGCCTTTAACTCTTGTAGTTGCCACACTTCAGTAGTTTTTTCCTGTGGTCCAAAGTTTATTCCCAGAGGCAAATTCCTGATTTACAGAATGTATCACCAGGTTTAGCAGCCAGAAGAGCCTGCTAGGAATTTCTGTATAGTGCTCCTCTTGTACTTGATTGTGCTGAAATACAAACTGCAGGGAGTTGGGTGGAAATGAGGGACAAAGAAACTTTATGCATTGTTTGTCAAAATCAGGTTCCTTAGCTACTCAGTCAGGAGCCTGTACATGGACAGCCCACCACAGAACCAGAAAAATTCTAATAGCTTACAAGAGTCTGGACTGACTCCACAGTGAATCTGGTTTAGGTACACATTTATTACTAGTCTGCCAGAAATCCTTCTTTTGAATAACACTTTCCTTCCATATATGAATTCTAAAATGTACTTTTTAAACTACAGAAAATTTGCAGCGGCTTGGAAAATTCTGCTCCCTGGCTTATCTTAGCAGGGTCTGGGGGCACAGCCGACATCTTGGCTGCATTCATGAATGACCCGCAGCTTATCACGCCAGAAGCTGTTGAAAAGCAACTTAAGGAGAAATTCCCAGCAGAAACCTTCTTGGGGAAGGACATTCTCCGATGGACAGCAACAGTGAGCTCACATGTTTGATAGTTACGTGCATGATATTCACAAGCTTTCTCCTACCATTTCTAGCTTCTGTGGTCCATTCAGTACAGGTTTGACAAGAAGCTGCCCAGAAGTTTTGGGTACTCCAGTGGTCTGGCACTAATGTCATAGAATACCTCTCTAACATTGAAATCAAGTGCTCAGTTGATCATACAAACTGCTTTGTCCTAGTGATTCAGCTGAACACTTAGAGCTCTGTCCTTCCTCCATTATTTCTTCAAGTAACAGCCAGCACCCGGGAACCCCACAGTCGTTCTGGAGGACACGAAGCATTATTTATACTCCACAGCTGTGGATCTTGTGCAGCTGTGAGAGAAGAGACCTAATTCATGATCTTACAGCTGTTAAATGGAAGCCTAGTTGTGGATAAGCATGAATAAATCAAAAAGAATAAAGGGTGTTCAGAAATTATCCTGTCTATTGTCAGTTATGTGCATTCTTAAAAAGGAAAGACAAAATAGATTAATAGATTTTCCTCACTCTTTGTCTTGAGGCATACTTACTAGATTTAAACTGCTATGCGTCAGTTTTAAAGAACAAAAAACCACTCTGACATTGTCTTTAGGTGAAGACTGAAGAGCGCTGCGTGCCTCTGAGATAAACCAAGTCCACTTGACCTGACCCATTACTTACTCTTTGCAGTCCCTGCCATAATCCTTAGCTTTAAAAGTTCCACTTATAATTCCATTCGGGAGAACTTTGCCAGATCACTAACACAAGGGGATGGAAGGGCATCTAGAAGCAATATTGCCAGATGCTCACAAAGTCTCGCTGCAGCTGCACTGCGGGAAAGAAAACTCAATAAATAGAGAAGCAGAAGGAAAGAGAAGAGTACTGTGTATATCAATATTTGATGACTTTTACTCAAAGAAGGTTTAAAGACTATGCTTTTAAATAAACAACTCCGAGAGCAAAACTTAAATGTCAAAAGAGGAAAAGGTAAAACAAAACTAGTGGTATGCTTCCAAAGCAGGACTATGAGTCAAATAAGAATGTGAGTTAAGGAAGGATCTTTTAATTAAAGCACTGCTCTGGTTCTCAGGATGTCCAAGTTCTGCTCCTCCTTGTCTGCTAGATGACTTTGGAGAATGCAGTAACTCCCTCCTTGCCTTAGGAGACTTATTTGTATATGGAAAACTAACAGTGTTTGTCTTCTTGCCAAACCTCAGCTTTTCAATTAGAACGTAAGTTTTGGGGAAATATTGTATGGGTGAATCTCACTGGGCTCGTAGGCATTAATATATAGCAGTAGAACAATGCATAAATGATTTTTGTTTCACCTCCCAATAGATTCGGAACATTATTTCACACCCACATCTTCTAACTCTGCACAACTTTGAGCAAGACAATTCAGAAGAACTAGACACAGTCATTTTGAAAGCTTTAGTAAAAGGTAAGAAATACAAGTGCAGCACAGTGTCATATCTGTCTTATTTGATGACTTCTATGTCATAAATGTATTTAATTCTTGTCCAGAGCAAGCTCAGTTGGCTGTTGGATCAGATTTCATTTCTGATGCTGAGTTTTTCTATTTGTTTATGGACAGACCAACTGTGGCAGTTACTATCTCTCTTGTAACCTTGCTTTAAAATAGTGTTTGGTTTTTAATCTTATGCTATTGTATAGCACTATTTTAATCACTCCTTTATTTCACTACTTGCTTTTCTTAGTAGTAGAGGTTGTAGAAAAACTGATATATACTGGAGCAGTAATTCCAATTATATGCCATTTAAGAAAAAAAATAAAATACAACAAACACAAGAAATGCAAGTAGACCTGAACTGCCTTAGTTCAGAAACAATCCATTTTCCCTATAAGAAATCTTCAGTGTATCTTCTGAAAGAAGAAATTACTTGCTCTGCCACCCATTTCAGTTTGTGTTAATTTTTTGTGCTAGCCAAAATTTAGCATAGAAAAAAAAAAAAAAGACCTTCTACTCCTAATGTGTTAATTGAAACAAGACAAAAACAATAGCCCCCCTCTGCTTTCTGAAGGCCAGGGTTCCTTTTTAAAATCCTACAGACATTTAAACTTGACATTTCAATAGAGAAGTCAGTTAGCAATAATTAAGATTGTTTAATATTAATATTTCTTAAGTTAGGAAAAAAAATGTTATGAAGGGTTCCTAGTTAAGCAACCCACAGACCTGTGATAGCTGAAGGAAAGTTTGTATTACTAATCTAATTACCAATACTATATTAAATTAAACATAACAAGCGTGAAGTACTGAATTTATTTGCATTTTCTATTTTTGCCAGCCTGTAAAAGTCTCAGTCAGGACGCCCAGGAATATCTGGATGAACTGAAGCTGGCAGTGGCCTGGAATCGAGTGGACATAGCTAAAAGTGAAATATTCAATGGTGACGTGGAGTGGAAGGTACCAAGTTTTATTGCCTTAGAGGACAATTGATGTATAATCCAATGTGTACAGGACACTGAAAGATCTGATAGAAGACTTCAGTTTTTAACACTACCTGCATTCTCCACTACTATTTTAGGCAGTGGCAGTATGCTTCCTTAGGCTGTCTGTCTCTCTGGTCCCCTATATGATAATGGCTAAAGATAGAGGAATAATTCAGTGATCAGTCTCTTCTTGAGCACTTTGGGGGTGAGAATCTTTCCCCCCTCGTCTGTACAGACCTTTAAAGCAAAGGTACCCGAGCTTACAAAGCAAAAGCAGCATGTGGATATTACTGTTAGAAGACAGTAGGAAGAATATTTCCAACTGTTGTATAAATACCCAGTGTGGTGGGTACCTAACATCACCACGACTCCTACAGCATGCTATTTGTGTTGATGTTTTTGCATTAATGCTTACATAGACATTCTGTCATAGATGAATGAAGAGAGTTCTACCTCTCTTTCTCGTACCCGCTGTTGACCTGGTAGAAAACAATACATGCATGTCCTTATGTTAAATCTTACTCCCTCCTCATCCATCCATTATTACCTCAAAAAAATTCTTTTTTTTTTCCTCCGTTCATCAATCTAGTCCTGTGACCTGGAAGAAGTGATGATGGATGCTTTGGTCAATGACAAGCCAGAATTCGTAAAATTATTTGTTGACAATGGAGCTAACATATCTGAATTCCTGACATATAGTCGTCTGCAAAGACTCTACTGTTCCATTTCTCAGAAGTGTCTCCTCTATGAACTTCTACTGAAGAAACATGAAGAAAGCAAGCTGACCTTGGCAGGGCAACAGCATAAGGGGCAGAAGACGACCTGCCCACTTTTCACTCTCAATGAGGTCTCTAGAGTTCTCAAGGATCTTCTCCATGACACATGCAAAGATTTCTATCAAGAACTCAGACATGGAGGCAAGAAGAAATATGTGAGTTACAACTTTCCATCATAGTCCTGCTCCCTTCCAATTTAGAATTTGAGAAATTTTAACTATGTCTAGCCTTTGGGGGTGGGGCAGGGAAGGAAAGATGAGAGAAACAGTCACTTCAGTTTCTCATTTGCTTTTCTCAGCTCATTATTACTACACCTAAAATGTTCTAATCTTTTTGATTTAAAAATTAAAAAGGAAAATAAATGAATTTCTGAGATAGGTTGTGTTTCCTCTTTCTTCCCCTCTGCACGTGGAGTTTTATGCAAGGTTTTACTGTACCTTGAACTAGTGCTAAGATATGGCATCTGTTTCAGGATCTGCAGAGGCCCCTGTATCTCTCTCTTTCTCCTAGCACAACTTCCACAGACCATTCCTCATTCTAGCACCTTTCACATGGACTATAGTTTGTTGATCTTCTTAGCCTCACACATGTAAGAGCAGATTCGATGAAAGATATATGGGGAATATGAAGAGATAGATTTACGTTTACTAAGGAGTAATTAGACATAAAAATAGCAGTCAGCATTTCTCATACAGAACTTCAAGCAGAAATACTTGAAAGACAATATTTGGTAGGACAAAGACAAGCAGGCGATGGCCATTTTCAATCCCAGGTCTGAAAATTATTATATTTTATACTGTGTAGCAGTAGACTGGATATTCAATAACGTGCAGTACATTGTATTTGACTTTAGATCATTATAGTCTTGTTAGTGAGTGACATAACACACAGCAAGAAATAAGAACGACTGTGTGAAGTGGCCCTGGCAAGCATCCTGGCCAACATGTGACAAGGAAAACATGTGATGGCTACCACCATGGAACATCTAGAGTGCACTGTTCACAATTATGCAATAGATAGATCATAATTTTTGCATTTTGACAGTATATTTAACATTGAAACTCATAGGTATGCCAAAGTTCTTGCAAGAGCATTGGAAATAAGTTTGGATGCATGATTTCAAGACAGAGGGGTACAGAGAAATTTCATTAAGATCATAAAGCCGAGTTAAATTAATTAGTAGTATGAAAAACTAAGTTTTAACCTAGTCAGGATTTTTCTGTTCACGAGGACAATCAATTTGGGGTAATATCTTTGAAGTCATGAAGCAGACTCCAGACTTAAAAATTTTACAGAAATAAGTGAGATTGCCCCTGAAACCTCACTTACCTTTGTGGGGTTTGGCAGTAAGTGAGCTAAAGCCTCGTGCTGTGAACAAGGCCCAATTCAGATACCAGATCACACTGTCTACTGGCTTTTTTCCTTTAAAAGTTTCTTCCCAGGGATGTCACCAGTGGCTCAATCCCATTATCATTGGCAACAGAAAGAGCATCACTGTACTGGGGAACCAGTGTCACTGCTGCTAAATTGTGAGTCTTATTTCAGGTTAGTGGTTACAAAGAGGATATTTTTGTCTCCTGCAGGGTTTTCAATGGAATTCAGTTGATTAAATAGCTCACTACAATCTGAAGAAAAAGACAAATACCAACACACCCAAAAAATGCCATTAAAATAACTTTGAACAGAATTGTATAGTTTAAGTGATTAAAAAATATATCCTCACAAAAAAACTTGTTTTATTTAAAAAAAAAATACATTGCTCTGGCTGCTTCTAATTAACACAACAGATATAAAGGCAGGTTTTGAATATACTTAAAACTCAGAACTTGACCTAAGTTGCCATACTTCCTCTGGGGAGATTTTTATCAAATGCCAGTGGAATAAGCAGTGTTCTACTTAAAATACTCCCTGCATGAGAGAGAGGTTTCTCAAAGGAAAGACTAGAAAGAGTGTATTGACGTACTCTATTCTTGTCCTGTACAGGGCCTTGGCGAGATTTTTTTCTGCTGAAATAAAATGCCTTTTGTTCCCTTCTATCTGAAACCATGTCCTCTGTGGCAGTTGAGCAGAATCCAATATAACTGAAGGCAAGCTCAGATTAGTTAATCACAGGTTTGCCTTGTATGATATTACACACCAATGGTGAAACCCTGGCCTTAATAAACTCAATGAGAGCTTTACCATTGACTTCAATGGAGTCACGGTTTCATCCAGAACGTTCTCACACATATTGAGTTATATCTGGGACACAAGGGTCCTTTGATTCAGTACAGGATGAACTAATTACTTCTTATTCCTACAGAAAAGAAAAAGAAGAATAAAAAGAATATGAAGTAGCTGGCAAGGCCAAGCGCAGTTTAGATCATGTCATTTGCATGGAATGAGACTGAAAAGCAGTTTTTAATTTATACAAACCATATTTCAGGATAAAATGAATACAAAGCAAGTACCTGGCCCCTTGGATATGAACCAGAAAACTGAAAATCCTTGGAGGGATTTGTTTGTATGGGCAGTACTTCAAAACCGGCACAAGATGGCAAACTACTTCTGGGCTATGGTAAGCTTTGAGCTGTAGATGCTTCCAGTGAAATACTGGCATATTTCAAGTATACAAGATGGTTTTTTTTAATCAGCCTTGCAGCTCAGATGACAGATAGGCTTGTTTCTAAAATACAAGATGTGGCATTTATTGGGCTTTTCATCTCCGCGTGGCTCATGCCAGCAGGGGCCAGAGAGCTTGACAAGAGAGGAAGGGCAGAGCAAGCAGCAGGTGTAAATAAACCAGCACAGCCTGGATCACTGCTGATTGAGTTCAGCTGCAGAACTGGCCCTCCTCTTCCTTGCTGCTGATGACTCACTGCTCTCAGTCTCAGGTTTTGTTCCTTCCACAATACCTCAATTGTTTGGGTTCTAGGGAAGTGGAGAGGGAAGAGGGTGCAATCGAGCATCCTTAGCTTACGTGCTGTACGCACAGGGAATCAGCATCACACTCTCAAAGGCTGAGCTTCAAGCTGGCATAATTGGCTCCTGTTTTATGATCCTCCACAACTGAGGCCCTGTCTCCTGCATCTGGAGCGCAATGCCGTAGCTTCCCTCCCCGCCACCCAGCCAGACACAGCTACCAGGCTCCATCCCAGAGCTTCCAGGATGCTGTATCCACAACAGGGATGGACACACCGCAGCACAGCTCTTCAGCCAGCGAGCAGGTGTGCCTGCAGACACATCTGCACCTTGCAGGGCCTTGTGTTTGTGGAGCCCTAATATCAGAAGGCACGTTTCTCTGCTCTTTGCCACTGTTGTGCCTCTGCCAGCTGGGCTCCCTCCTTTCCCATACGTCCTTACACATGGTCTCAGCACAGCTACGTTCGAGGTATCTTGGCACTGTGAGACCATTTTGCTCTATTTCCATAACACATTCTTATCCTTTCAGTCTTTGACTGCCACCCCAAATCAGGCCTCTCTAAGGTCAATCAAACACAGAAGTTTCCAGCCTCATAAGGCACAAGAATGACCACTATGTGGTTTTCAATTCTCAAATATCACCCAAACTGTCATTTCAATTGACATTTTGGACTTGAACGTCTGTATTTGAGGGAAGATCCTTTGAAGGGCAGACATGAATGAAATTTTTTTATATTTTTTTTTTGTTAGATGTGTTCCTTAGTGAAGTCTCCCCAGTTCAGAAATGCCCCTCAGTGTATGGTAACAGCAGCACCCCTTTCAATTCTACAGGGTCAGGAAGGTGTAGCTTCAGCTCTGGCTGCCTGCAAGATCCTTAAAGAGATGTCCCGCCTGGAGACGGAGACCGAAGTAGCACGTATAACAAAAGAGGCCAAGTATGAGCAGCTTGCTGTTGGTAAGTAATGGCACCTTTATAACAGCATCTAAAATTTAAGAAGTAACTGCCATTGGGAGGCAAGCAAATGAAAAAGATACCATTTCAGTTGTAAAAGGTCAACCGTCATGAATAATTTAACAGCCGTGCAGCACAGGCAGTCCCAAACATTCAAATACCACAGAAGAAGACTTAAAATCCAATCATTTTGGAAAAATCAATGTTCCAAGACTGGCCCCTGGGATGCATGGAATAAATTATTCTCCTGCTGCGCGCTAGTATTTTAAGTGTCTGATCTTAGTATAAGGTGTGTTATATTGATGGGCAAGATAGAATAACCCAAACACGTCCAAGCTCACAGCAGCCTGGTTTTCCTGCAATATCGAGCTTGCTCTGTAAGGGCCACTAGAGCAACAAGTTTTAAGTCTTCTCTTCGCTGCTAAAAATAATTTGAGATTACCTCACCCAGAAGAGGGCTAACTGCACTGCAAAACTGCGGCGCGGCTCCGACGGGTTTCACAGCACACAAACCCCCCTCCCTGCAGCGGCATCTGCAGTGCCGAACGCCAGGCTCTCTCCCCTCCGCCCGGGTTAAGAACAGATGCAGGCCAGCTTCTCTGCTGATCTGACTCCAGTTCAATCCATACCTGAAGGTACCACTGCTGTGAACAGAGGGCTTTAAAGTACACCACGCTTGGAGATGCGGAGGCTTTTTCTTTCCCCTTAGAGCTGGTACACCAAGCAGCTGAAGGCTCAAGCGTACATTGCTACGTTATTTATACACAGATCACATTTTCCCCTCTTCTCACGGGGCCGTTATTATTTACAAAAAATAAAAGTCAGGTTCCCATATAATCACTGGGCTCAAGTAATTTAGTCATGGAATTACAGGGCCTAATCCAATACACAGAAGTCTGTTCCTTGGCTTTGGTAAGTATTAGATCAGATCCTCAGTTTTAATTTCTGGCCTGGATAACACTGTCGATATTAAGTAGAGAAAACATTCTTCAAGAATGATAAATACCACATCAACTGCAAAATACGTCTGTATATCAGCTCATTTTAAGTGAACTTGATCCTTTCCCCAGCCCTCAGTGTAACAAGAAAGCGTAGGCTGGCCTAGGAAAGGAACTAAGATAATCAAGCAAATCAGCAAAATAAAACAGACGCAAGAAGTCTGATCTTGTCTAATGAGAAAAACTTGACTTTTTGGACCGTTTATCCTAGTCTCTGAGCTCCAGAACCAGCTTATCTGGAAACAGAACTGTACCACAACACTCTACCAAGTCTAATATTATTTTATGTCTAATAGCTATGTCTTAAACCCAAGGATTTGTTGGCTAGAAGCCAAAGCAGAGCAGCTCCCTTTGTTCAATCCCTCCAGGAGAGTGGGGACAACGTGGCAACTCATCCTTCAAAGTGTAAGAGGATCACCCAAGACATCAAGTTTTGCTTGATATTGCCTAAAGCTCCACATGAGGCAGTTAGAGATGAGGGACTATAACAAATACTGACATGTCGCCAAGAAGTTTCTTATGCTATCTGTAAAACCGAGAAAGAAAAATTTGTCCTCAGATCAAACAACAATAGGGAAAAGAAACTTCCCAAAACAGTCAGAGACCCCAGGCTGAGAACAGAACATGCAGATAGAAAGAGGCGAGAGGGCAGTACTGAGATATTTACTCCATAGCTTTCTTCAAATAGCGGGAATTTTAAAGTTACAGTGATTTTTATTTTTTTTTTACCAAGGCAAATCTATTTCGTTTGCCCTCTGCCCCAAGGAATATACACACATGCACAAAGTCACAGTGAGTTATTCTTGTGTCCAGTATCATTCTTCTCTCCCTCCTACCTTTCTCAGGCTCTTTTCAACTATTTCAGCCTTGCAGAAGTCTCTGGTACAGCAAGGAGTATCTGGCAGCGCTCAGGCTTTGCTGCCACCACGCTGCACCCTACACACATCACTCACTTGCCTTACATTCATATTTTTTATTATAAATTAGAAGAACCATTTATTTATGTTTCCTTCATTTGGCAGAACTGTTTAGTGAATGCTACCACAACAGCGAGGAGAGAGCGTTTGCTTTGTTGGTGAGGAAAAATCAGTACTGGAGCAAAACCACCTGCCTTCAGCTGGCTACAGAAGCGGATGCAAAGTCTTTCTTTGCACATGACGGTGTCCAGGTAAGTTTTACAGACCCTTCCTTCATCACCGCTACCCCCAGGGCCTTTAAGCATGGTGTTGAACATAGAAAAGGATAGCACAGCAACTGAACAACTACACAAAATGTATTCCTGTAAGAGATATTCATGAGAGAGGACTCTTCCCTTTCACGAGCACCATACATAGAGGACTTTGTACTGCAACACAGTTCCCCCTTTGCCCCTCCTTTCATCCATTTAGCACTGAGGAGAAGGTTTAGCCCTTATTCCATCTTGTGCTTTTTCTTCCTTCCTTGCCCACAGAGAAGTATCAGGAAAGCACTTTAAATCTGCCTGAGGCATAATGAAGCTGCTCCAAGGTGTGAGGTAACTCCTTGTTCAGATTCAGGGAAGGGCGCACTGATAAAAATTAAATCAAATTACTATTCAGCTTTGCCCTTACAACCTGAGTTCTCCCCACATACACAAAGCTAAATTAAGAGCGATGGTGCTTTTAGCTCCCAGTACCTGACTTGCACTTTCTTAGTACTACAGATGTTGCTTAATTCCACTTGACTTGCTGTTATTTCTACTGTCCTCTTGGTAACTCTTTGCATACTCAACAGTATCTGCAGAAGGACACGCAGAGTGCCCGTTTGCTCTGAAGTTGCACCTGTTCTTTCAGAAGAGCATTCACTGTCTTAGGAGCCATAGAATATAGGTACACTGCATTTGCACATATGTTTTTGAGATGTTAAAACTTTCTTTTCTTTTCCTGACTTTTAGGCCTTCCTGACAAAAATATGGTGGGGAGACATGTCTACAAGCACACAGATCCTGAAGTTAATCTGTGGATTCTGGTGTCCTTTCCTAATCTACACAAATTTAATAGCATTCAGGTACAAACATAACCATTTGAGTGCAAGAGACAAGTAAGGGATGAAAAATAAGCCATAAAAAAATACCTATTCTCAAAATTTCTCACCTGAGTTATAAAACCAGTAATATCACTTGAGAGTGTCAACAAGGCTGCACCACTATTAAACAAATCGGTTTTCTATGAGACAGAGTGATTTGTGTCTCCTGTGCTAGTGCCTGTTCTTAATACTTAAAAGATCAGTGCCACATTTTCACATAGACCACTTCTATTTTGCACAGTCCACAGAAAAGCCTGCTGGGATTCTGTCAGCTCCAGGTTCTACACAGTAATATGTAGATCTCCATCTGTTTCTAGATTTGGAGATGCCTGGTTCAAGGCTCCATATCTTATCTAGAAAAACAGCCATCATCAAGCAGTATTATCAGCCACAAGCCTTGTATCTTATCAAGGGAAACAGCCATCACAAAGCAGTATTATCAGCCACAAGCCTTGATAGCTGTAAATCAAGCTTAAAAACATAGAACTGATATGAAAACAATTAAGAACTTCAAATTCAACATCTTATGAGTTCTCTTTGTTAGTCTTCTCCAGACATAGCTTTGGAGTTCATTGTTTTCACCTTGAACTATGAAAACTGAAAAAACTTTGCAAAAACCTCCTAATATTTTGAGAATCATATACAAATCATCAGAATTAGCATTATGGAATGACACGCTGTTATGAAACACATGTTTCTTAGCTGTTAAACTACTTAAAAGGCAAGAATAAAATTTGTTTGGCACTACTGACTTAAGACTTTCTTTCTGCCAGTATCACTAAAGGTGATCTTGTTGTCGTAGTGGCTGCCAGATTCATAAATTCAAGTATTTTAATGTGAAATTTTGGCAAACTTTTAATGGAAAGGTTTAAATTATGATTCATAATTGAAGTAAGCCTTTCCAAATTTGTTCTGTTGAGGACATTTTTTGCCTCCTTTCCCTGAAAATGCAAGAGTTGGGACCATGTTCCCTGCTGCTTTTGTCATTTCCTCTCTTAATTGCTACTAAGAGTAACCAGGAATAGAACATTGGGGCATTGTCTTCTAGAACTGACTGAGGGGTTTATTTCTGCTCAAATCCTAAGTAATTTGAGGAAACTGAGCATCCTGTTCCATTTTTGTGAAACATACCAATTATCACTTCTTTGAATCGCGTGGGTGACTTCGGCCTTCTCCTTACAAATAAACAGAATTTGCAGACTTAAGGATTATGCATAATTTGATAACTTCTTAGTGGAGCAAGTCCAAGATAAGTAAATGCTGGAAGTTCTGTATAAATGCCAATTCAGTAGTGAAAAATTCTAACCATCATCTTTAAACTAATGAGTTGATTTCCTTACAGTGAGGAAAAACAACCAAAGAATGAGCCAGAGACATTTAGAGAGCTGGACAGTTTAGATACAGAGAAGACTCTGTTTTTTTCCAAGGAAGATGATAGGTAAGTTTAAAACCGTTACTTAATATAACTTCTATGACAACAATCAAAGAACAGGACACTTCTTGTATGCTAGTCATCAGCTAATGATCTAAGGAGCAGCTGAACTACCAAGAAAGTCTTTACTCCTCAGAAAGTGTTCTGCCTTCTGCTGCTGTTGTTGCTCTCTAAAAGGAATACAGAAAATAAACAGGGATATATCACTGGTTTAAGGAGATACAACTTTACTTGTTCTGAGCAGCTGATTTCTACAGAACAAGGAATCTGCTTAATACCTGGGGAATCAGAAAGCATTTTCTGAGATTCCATTCAGCTCACGATGACTAATATATACTGGATTTAGGAACTAAGCCCCTTTCAGATTACTGAGCTGAACAGAAAGAAGGTTCTCAGCAAAACCTTCCATTATTTGAGTGCATCACTACATGCTTTCCTACAAAGACAGTAACAGAAGTATGTACAAACACCAGTACCTGGGAATTTTATATTGAGTCAGCTTCCCACCATACTAATGCTCTTCGATTATATTCTAAAAGATGAGCCCTGAGGAACCTGAAGTATAACAATGAACTTAGGATTTAGAGGGAGCATTACACAAACGGGTAACTGAGCACAAAGATTTTGTCAGTTGCTCCTGGTCATTCATAGATCTGTGATTCAGAACTTTTGAATCCCACCCTATCCCTCTACCACACACTCATCACCAAAACCTGGGAGGCCACAATGACTTAAGTCAGGATAGCAAGATTTTGATTAGCACAAAGTCCCCTTAATGGCTGAATAGTGCTAAATAGCCACATGTATTAAGCATGTGCTTTCAGTGCTTTACAGAGAACTTTATGTGAACAACAGTAGCAAGGAAGCATCATCTGCAGTATGAAGTGCTGGACCAAGTCAGAATTATTACATTCTATTTTTACGTCCAGCATTTAACTGCTGCTACATTGGAGAAAATCATTAGTTGTTCTCTTTCCCTCCCTAACCTATAAAATAGGTGTAAAAGCATCTGACTCTTGGGAACTATTTGTAAGCAATGTCATAAAGCACTTCCATATCCTGAGTGAAGTATGGTTTGGTCATTACATTGTGCATTGCAATTACTATTATCTTAGCAATTTATTTTAACAAAGAGGCTCTCTCCCTCCCAGATCTATTTCAGCATCTTACAGTAAAGCTGCAATTATCTGTTTGTGATATTAGCCTGTCACAATGGGAATGTATCTTATGATGTCATAAATTGAGAGGTAGTACAGAATCAGGCTCATAGAAAAGACTGGCTGTGAGGAGAAACTTTCCCTTGTAACAAATGTATTTAATAATTGGAAAGAATGCCAGGGGAAATTAAAAACCAGTGAAAAGCTATTGTTTATTTTTTGTGAGGTGGAATTGAAAACATACCCTAGTGTGCACATCCTTTGGTAGAGATCACACCTCTCAGAGTCAGAATCACAAAATTAAATAACATCCCTAGCTTACACAGGAGAGCAATTTATGTGGAAACAAAACCTCACACTAAGATCAGATTGCTATCAAATACAGGGAACTTGCATCTTCTGCACAGGATAATTTCCACTGCCAATAGATAGCATTTCATGTTCCAAAACACAGCAAAAACAACTGTAGATGGTCAGGTCAATTTCCCTTCAGTTATCAAAATAATTGCATAATTCCACAATAGTCAAAGACTGCCTTAATAAATAATTTATAAGGTCAACCTTTTCTTTTTTTTTTTTTTTGCTAAAAGGCTTCTATATTACTTTTTCTGCATTTACCCTAATTTAATCATATAGGACAAGATGCCAGCACTTACAATTGTACAATTGTGTAAAGGACTAAAGTGTTCCTTCAGTAGCTCTCTCAGACAGGATAGCAAGGATAGTCAAGAAATATGTGTAGTATGATCTAGCACTTTTGAGACTGGGCCAGAAAGAGGAATTGTTTAAAGTCACAGCACAAGAACTGCATGCAAACACTGCAAGAGATTTTTAGAGCCAAAATAATTAAGAACTGACTTGCAAACTACATTGGCCATTTGCTTTTCTTTCCTATCATTTAGAATGATGAAGAGCAATTAGCCTACTTCACCCTCTCGCGGTTGTACTGTAAGCAGGAACACAATGAAGTTACAAATCAACACAACAAAACTGAAATGAAAAGAATACGCATTTAAGTCTGATGTAACTCGGTTTCTCAAAACCTCCTTTTTAACTTGAAATATTTCTGCTATGGTAATATGATTGTGAGTTCTGCAGCCTTTGTGCTTACCACCCCAGCCTCTGCCTGTTACTGTCTTACAAAAAACTTTACATAGAATAATACTGAGCCTGTTCCCATAAACTAAATTTAGGAAATTGTAACCAAGCTTATATTCTTTGTGTTTTGCAGGGGAAGTACTAAATTGGAGAAGCAGAACCCTTCTGAAAACATAGCGTGGGCGACATTCATGTTTACTCGGTGGAAAAAATTCTGGAGTGCCCCTGTAACTGTATTTATGGGGAATGTTATAATGTACTTTGCTTTTCTCTTTCTATTTACTTATGTCCTTTTACTGGACTTCAGACCACCTCCACCTGAGGGTCCATCTGCTACAGAAATTATACTTTACTTCTGGGTTTTTACCCTGGTCTTGGAAGAAATCCGACAGGTCAGTAACTTACACCACCTAACCACAGAATCACACAGTTTAGTAACACAGTAAAACTTAAATGATATTTTAAATAGATTTATAATCTGTATAACTGTACAAGCGTGAAGATTTCAAGCATCAGGCGCAGTTTTGCCCAGAAAAGCAATACAGAACTTACGTTATCCAAAACACTCCACTTCTATCTCCCAGAGCAAGCTCTTCCTCCAGCAGTAGCTCCATCTACTTCTCTATGCTGCTCCAGCTGTAGCCAAGTCAAGTGTGCTGCTGAGATTCAGGTGTCCTTTACTTTGCAAAGTATCTCTCTGATTTCAATCCCCACAACTAGGTCCTCTCACCACAAATAATGGAAACTGGGAGTTATATTCTACACCTGGAAACACAGCAAGCAACAAGAGATTCTTCCCCTCTGGGGACTGTTTAAAAAGTCAAGTAAATGAATTCAGATTGCTTGTGCTTTTCCTAAGAAAATTCTCAACTCAAAATATTAGCAAATCTTTTTTTGGTTTGCTTTTCTTAGAAAGAAAAAAAAACAACACAAAAAACCACAAAACCACACCAAACCCAAAAACCAACCCCAAACTTCTCCATTACCCTCCCAAGTTATTGGTTTTGGAATGTCCCCAGCTCAACACCTCAAATAATTTGTGAACAATAGTGCTAGTGTGTTGCCAACTGTGGGTGCGTAAAGCTGTCCTCTTTAGACATGAAAAAGCAGTCATAAATATTGACCCTGGAAGAAGAAATAGGTGTTCATTATTTAAGCAATAGGGACAGTGAAGCGGATCCCAGTGTGTTACAGTTTATTTGAAATTTTGCAGCAAGGACATAACCAGAGAAGAACATGGAAAATAGTTGGGTCAAAGAACGTTTCATTATAAACCTGTAAAACATGAAGAGTGCCAGGCTAAAACCCAATTAAGAAACACAACTCTTTGCCTAGGTAATCAAATGTGTACTCACAGACAATCCCAGTACACAAACGCCGTATCTGTTCACGCTGTTTAGATAGTAATGTCTAGAAATTGAACTTTGCCTGGAAGTTGTCGTATTGTTTAACAGCCCGAATACTGACAGGATCTTAAATCAAGCCTCAAAAATTATTGAGGCTAATATCACAAGAATAAGAAGATTTTTTTTTCCTTTTTCATCCAACTTTTGTGTTTTAAGACAGTAAACTGAGCTTATGTTTTCAAGCTTTTTTTCCCTATTATACTAGGAATTTGGTTTTGCTCTCTACAATGAAAGAGAATTAGGAAACAGATATTATGTGAAAACTCACAATGAAATAGTGAAACTGGAAACAGATGAACACTGATGATTATTTCCCTTTTTCAGAGTTTCTATACAGACGAAGACAAAAATTTAAGGAAAAAATTTAAACTGTATGTGGAGGATAACTGGAATAAATGTGATATGGTGACCATCTTTCTCTTCATAATTGGGGTAACCTGCAGGTATATATCTGTTATATCTGTTCCACGTGATGTGGTCAGCAGTGGTAGCAAGAGCTATGTATGTCAACTGACAGGGCAGTCTCTCATGCACATGACAGGCTCTGACGTTTACTTTTACAAGCTTTGAGACGTTTCTGCATTAAAAGCCACTAAAATTCTGTGGAATCACAGAAGAGATGACTCAGAGATGGTTCAGAGACCACAAAAAGACATACTGGGATATTCAAACAAATGTACAGAAAAGCTCTGCTGCTTTTTTTGTTTTGTTTGTTGATGTATAATACCTTTTTTATAAAAAAAAATAAATCTCATTGAAGCCAAGACAGAGAATACAGTGTCCCTCTGTCTTTTGGCTACTTTTTATCAATGTACAGACATTATGTTACATTCCTCATGCAAGCACAGCCCTGATGTTTTTGCCTTTTCCTAATTAAGCTATGCCCAGAAACTAAGTGTAATGTTTGAGAAAATACTTCTCAGCAGTACTTGCTAAGATCTGACATTTCATTTTCTGTGTTCTGCAGGATGCTGAACTCAACTTTTCAAGCTGGCCGTACAATACTCGCCATTGATTTTATGGTGTTTACACTTAGACTTATACATATTTTTGCCATTCACAAACAACTTGGACCAAAGATCATAATTGTGGAAAAGATGGTAAGTGCGCAGTCTCTCTCAGATCAATTCTTGTGCTTTTGAAAAAATGGAGAGTAGGAAATCTTCTCTTTACAAAGGAAATCAGTTTACGATCTATCTTTATTTTTTTATTTTTAAGGCTTGTCATTTTCCATATAATCCCTTATTTATAATGAGCAGTAGAGGCAGTAAGTTTGAAATAGATCCTTCCAAAGAGCTCTGTAGTGCAATAAATTGGTCCCAGTTTACTAATCCTTGTACTTTACCTAATAATTTATTCTCAGATCTGGCAAATGATGAGTAGAGTGACAGACTTATTGCTATTCTTCCTGCTTCAAAAGCTGTGTGCATTCAGAGCAAAGACCTGGGAGACGACAGGTTATTTACAGAAGGGCAAGGCATTTACTGAATGACTCTGCTCCACTTGGGGAAAAAGATTATGTTATTTGCAATAAATGTGAAAAAAATTTGTGAAAAAGTGCAGTTGCTAGTTTCCCACAGGAATTATTTTTACTTGAACTCTGTAGCTCCAAGTTACAGTGAAAACATTAGTACTTTGTGAGCGTATGTTGGAAGATGTTGATAGAAGATTTTTATTTATTACCACTCTCCTGCAGGAAATGAGACATTAGGACTACAGTTACTGTGCTTGGGTATGCATTGGTATGTTGAAGTAGCTTTTTATTTAGGCATGTTAATCCTCTAGGCCAATTAGTTCATGGTAACTGATTAATAGGAGTTCATCTAATTGTAAATGCTATCACAGAATCTACAAATATTTGATTTGTGACTCACAGCAGAACTCAGTAAAAGCCCTGCAGTTTAAACAAGCCTATACATTGAATAAACATAACTACCAAGCTATTTGGATTTGTCTACAAATGCAGTAACTAAAACTCTAACATGACATTTTCCTGGAGTAGCAAAAGGGTAAATGGCAAATAAATATTTGTTCTTGAACATTATCTAGCTTACAGCATTAGCAAACTTCTATTGTAAGAGAACAAGTCAGATCTACAGCTCCTGACCCCTCCTTGCTGCGTACCAAGCTAAACCGGGGCCTTGAACACATACAGTGATGTGTCTACTATATTGGCATCTGAAGTCATACGAGACAACACACAGATTAAGAAGATGCAAACAAGAGCATGAACAGCAGCCTAGACAAAACCATAAAATGGGACCTTTCAACTTTGCCCCATCCAAGCCAACACAACACCTGAGCTTTGGTAATTCAGTGCCGAACCTTACATCAAATGAAAGAACAGTGAAAGTTACTTCAGTAAATGATACCTTTTTGAACGGTTTGTCAAGTGGTTTCAAGCAAGATCATTTCCCTTACTTAAAGAGAGAAGCAATCCAAAATTGTCTGCTATTGTCTTTCTCCCTTTTAACCTTTGCTACAGAACTGCTGAAACAAGTCCGGTAGCTGCTAAAACGGCATTTCAATGCCAGCACAACGCCCCTTCACAGAGGGGCTGCAGACTGGAAACAAATATTTCCAGATTTGTCACTCCTCTCTCTTAACCATGAAATCATTACAGTCCTGCAGCGCTGATAAATTTTAAATCATCCAGAAAACATAACAGACTGGTGAAAGTCAGAGAGACATCGAATATGCCTTGCCTGGCTTGGATGCTGTGTTTCTTGGTAGAACTCAAAGTAACCTCCCCGAGGTCTGAAATGCCTATCCTTGTGGATAACTGCACAATCCAATAATCTAATTGAAATGAATCTAAAGTCCCTAATGAACTCTGTCAGGTTAGATGAGAAGAGGATGAAGTGTTCCTTTTCCACCAGGGAAAAATTATTACACTCGAAATACATATTAGATTATTATTTTTTTTTAAGTAAGTGTTTTAGGATTCAATTACTTGTGCTTCTGTAGAGAAACACAGTGTTTAAAAGCATGAAGACCTGAAAACAATCCCTCAGATGCATTACTTAGCTTGCAAACCTAAGACAGCAGCTACCTGATCCTTGCAGCCTTCAGTGTCTGCTGTATCAGTGGTTCAGCATTCATCAATGAGCATCTCTGAGCCATCAAATGGCTCTTACCAGGATTCACTGCTGCAGCAGAACTCGTGCACTTCATAGTAAAGCAGTTGGCAGTACTGAGATCTCACAGAAAATCTGTACTTAAAAGGTACAATAAGATTTGCTTAAAGAATAAAATGTGCTTAATTTTTAAATGTTAGATGATAGAGAAGCAAAGTTTTAATTTAAAACATGCCTTTATCTAAATGAGCTATTTAATTTAAAACATGCCTTTATCTTAATGGCTGGCTTCAAGCCAAGAACAATATGATAACAGCAAGGTCAAGAGAGGAGTTCTCTGCATGGAACTGTATCCTATTCCACCTCCTTTAACTAAAATGAGCTTGTAAATAAACAAAATTATTTGAGCCATTCTCATGTAGAAATGTTCAAAATCAAAATTTTCATATACCATTTTTTGACTATGCTATTACAGTCACCTCTCCTCCTTTTCTCCCCTCCCCCTCTCTGTTTTAGATGAAGGATGTTTTCTTCTTTCTATTTTTCTTGAGTGTGTGGCTCATTGCCTACGGTGTGACAACTCAAGCTCTACTTCATCCCGACGACAGCCGAGCAGAATGGATATTCAGGAGGGTGCTTTATCGTCCTTACCTTCAGATATTTGGCCAGATTCCACTGGATGAAATAGACAGTGAGGAAATTTCTTTCCACCTAATTTGGCCATTTTTGAATGCACACTTCTGATTAGAGCATGGAATTCCTTCCCAGTATTGTCTTTTTTTTTATGGGTGTGTGTGTGTGTGTGTTAATCTTTGTCCTGCAAGCCAAAGCTTTCACATTACTACGATACAAATAGTGTATTTGCAAAGAGATAATATGCACTGTGGAATTCCGTTAGAGCATAAGGGTTGGCCCTATTGAGACAAGCTGTCTGAAATGTTCGTACAAGGATTTGCAGTTTTCAAGACTGGCATATCTTCTTCCACTTCAGTCCATTTCCGTTCAGTTTAACCTAAACCCAGATAACCCTGGGTAAACTGAAATAATAGCACCTCCATACATTTTGGCAGGAGTTTAATGTGACAGTACTAAAGCAGTACAGCTCTGCCCATAAGCAAACAATTATGTTTTAGAATAAATATTGCTCCAGAGCATTTATAGACTCTGGAGGCAAAGCTGCCCAAATCAAATAAAGCTAGGAATTGCATATGTGCATATTTCAAACAAAACAACATAAAAATAACCACAAGACACAGAAAGACTTGACAATAAAAGTTCAAAGGCAACATTTCTGATAGGCAAGCAGGTAAAATACAGAATAGGTAATCTCCCAAAGGTGGCTGAAGTGATGCCACAGCATTTAAGCAGAATAACCGTGATTAATGTCAGTGGCAATGTTGAAATAGGATTCAAACTTGAGGTAATATAGATGGAACTGAAAAAAATCTCATCAACAGAAGCAAACCAGTAAGTGTTCTTTCATGTTCACTCTGCTTAATAAGAAAAAGCATCTGTGTTAGAAAAGCCAAAGAAGTCTGCATGAGACAAGAGAGCAGGGGTATGATTCATCTCACTTAACTTTAAATGCCTAAGGTGTAAGTGTGCACAGCACAACCAGTCCCTCTTATTTCCATTAAAGCAATTGGAGAGAAACAAATATTTCTGGAATAGGATTAATCTCATTTGGAAATAGGTCAGATGTACCATTCTCCAGAAATGTGTGTTTCTCTCCAAAGGTGTCTTCACCTGAAGAAATAACTAAATAAACGACAGAGAAAAAAAGAATTAATTACACAGGCAGCTTCCAGAAGGGAGTCATTTGTCCTGGGACTCTGTGGGGCTTATTGTGTTTAACATCTTTATGAAACACGTAGAAAAGGAGATGGGTAATGAGGAGGACAAAATCTGCTGACAAAACTACATTACTGGGTAGTAAAGACTAAAGCTGACACCTTAGAGTTGCAGAGGACTCTCATGAGTGCTAAATCATCAAATGAAATTCAATGTAGATAAATATAAGGTAATGCACTTTGGTGAAAGCAGTCCCAGCTGCGGCAAGCTTTGATATAACTGAACAGTCCAAGAAATATGATTGTGGAGTTATCCATAGCAGTGGGGAAAAGAATTATTAGTGAAAAAACAGGGAACAAAAAAGCAAATATCACTATGCTACGCTACATTTGTGGATTTAATTCATAGCTGGAGATAGAATACAGGGCTAAACCTCTAGTCTGATGCAGTAGAACCATTGTTACTAACCTTGACTGCAAGCTCAGATGTACAAAGTAGTGTACATTTAGAATGAGGAACATCACTCCCAGCTTTTACTTAGTTTTCTTCTCTAAGGTGCCCACCAGCATGAGGACTGCAAAGACACAAGTATGTGGGGGAACACAACTGCTAAATACTCAAAGGTGGTTTGAGTTTTGGAACTCAAAACTAGTCTAAAAATTGATACAGCCTTTTCAATACAATCCCCCTTTGCTGAACCTTACTAAAAAGCCAGCTGTGGCAGCCACCTTGCTACTGAACGGGCGGCGAAATTCTGGAGATCTGCATCGTTCTAGGGTTGCAAACCTCTTGCACATTAAAGCAATGTTCTTCACATACACAACACAATCATATTTTCACAAAATTAAAGACTTTGGATATTAGTTCACATAAATGATCTTTCAACTGCAAGAATTAGCTCAGTAGTTGAAGAAGTCAAAGAACTGACCTTGTAGGGTTAAGAGAGTCTCATATTTACAGTCCTGCTAGTAGTCAACAAGGGTAGTCCAAAAATACTACCACAATATTGGGTTTAAGCTTTTAACGACTGTAAAATATTTAGAACAAAATTATGCTGCTTATATACAGCCAAGATTTAATCTCACTTTAGTAATCACTGTCATTGTCCTCTATTTGTGTCTTAACTGTAAGGGTACTAAATATATGCTTCCACCCATGTCACCAGTTCTTAAAAAAATACAGGTTTAGAGATATTAATTCAGTTTTTATTTGCATTGAAATAGCTATGAAATGCATTACTTCAAACCTCAGGAACAATTGGTCATTCTTGCCATTCTTTGTTGAAAGTCAGAGATTTTGCTCACCAAAATGCAAAGCTTTTGTCTCCACTGTAAGAAATACATGTGGCAGTAGGATTTGTCAAAACTATTCTTTTATTTCTCTTTCTTTGCAGCATCTCGAATGTATCCCAGGAACTGTACATTTAATCCACTGCAGATTCTGCAGGAGAACGCCCCATCTTGTCCTAACAGCTATGCCAACTGGCTTGTCATACTTCTGTTGGTCATCTTCCTGCTAGTCACAAATGTTCTCCTTATGAATCTCCTGATTGCTATGTTCAGGTAAGAGCGATTTTAAAGCATCAAGACAGAGGCTGCAAAGGTTTAACTAAATGCCCACATTCCCTACATTGCTGTTGGCTATTCATTTTGGCATACACTAGTAATTTTCCTAATGAATACTATTTGGGGATTTATAGGTAGACTTCTGAGATAATATAGTTCTTAAGTTCTCATCATCATTATTCTAGTCACATTAAAGACAAGAAGAAAAGAAGCCTGTTTTACTGCTAAAAATTCCATTAAACATGCATAGAAGGGTCTGGATCCCTGGCTGTGCTGCAGTACAAATCTGCAGGTGCAAAGCAGCCGTAAATTTGGCAGGCTTAACAGTGGATAATCTGCATGTAGGGGAAATGCTTGATGTCAACACAGCTAATAATGATTCATTTGGTTGAAGAACTGACGTGGCATGCTTGCTGATCTTGCCTAAGTGAAGTGAAATTACCCTTCTTTAAAAAAAAACCAACACCCTAATGTATTTTTTAACATTTGAAGATTGCAATTATTTTAATATCTAAGAATTTGCACAAACTTCAGATCAAATTAACCCTACTTGCTGAGCTTGCCGTTCCCTTTCTAAAGCAAATTAGGGACTAAATTTCGTAATAACAAGCATTACCTTGTTGCGGTAAAAAGAGTTATAATACTTTTTTTTTTTCCCTCCAATTACAGTTACACTTTTCAAGTTGTTCAGGGCAATGCGGACATCTACTGGAAAATTCAGCGCTACAACCTGATTGTTGAATATCATGGCCGACCTGCCCTAGCACCACCATTTATCATTATTAACCACATAACTCTGGTTCTCAGAAGAATCTTCAACAAAATGGAACATAAAAATGAACATCTGGGTGAGTTGTTAGCAAACATCTTGCAACTGGAGACCTTTACGCTCTCCTAGGACACGCTGCATAGGCAAAACAGAAGAGCAATTAAGATTTCCTTAAGCCAAGAGTCACAATTTATTTTTAACAAAGAGTGCCAGGAGAGTACTAATGAAAAATTAAGTCTTATAATGTATCCTCTGCTATAAACAGTTTCCCACTATGCATTTCTTTATGCACCACACTTACTACAACAAAGGTGTCAATGTAAAACTGGTTAAAAGGATTTGATTTCTGAAGAGATAAGGATGGACACGTTTAGTGAATAGTTATTTCACTGGCTTCTGAATTCTAGTAATTATTAAGTACAGACAATCCTAAAAACACACACCAAATCTAAAAATCTACTAGGATCAGTGGCATTTCCCAATACAGGGACTCAGAGAGAGAGTGAGCATGCTTAGAGAAATAATGGTCTCTTAAAAGTTATAATTAAAAAGGCAGATGAAGTTCAGCTAATTACAGAAGGCATTTGGGGGCTTTTTATAGTGATGGCAAACTTGGCCCATCTAGTTTAATAGTGTCTGATAATAAGCCTATTTACTTCTCACGCGCAAGCAGATAATGGGCTTTGGAGCAGAACTGATGTCAGACTCAACCAATTCAGAGCCCTTTGACTAAGCTCCCTTTCAGATACGCTACTCCTGAAGTTTCTTCAAAACCTAATAAAATTCTTTTTTCCCCTAATAAAGCAAGTACCTGACTGCTCAGGTTATAGAGTTAGTAGTGTCTGGGGCATGCAGTAAGTGTGCTCTTTTGCCAATCTTTAGGAAGATATAAAACTAGCATGTTACTTTCAAAATATGTCTGAAATTGAGGTCTGTTGTTGGCTGGGACACTTGACAACAGTAACAGGCTTCATACTTCAAGGCGGTGAGATTTATGCACAGTTTGTCCTTCCTATTTGTAACTGTTCTAATAAAGAAGCTTAGATGATAAAGCTCTGCTCATTAAATAATTTGGGACTAAAATATGTCAGAAGTCCAGTAAGCTTGTAAATAAGCCTAAATGGAACCACAGAAATTGGTCCATGCTGTTCTTCAGAAAACTCAGGAGTTATATCCAACCACAAAAAGATCTGTTGCCCTCCATCTCAAGAAAAAAAAAAACAAGCAGGAAATACTTATGTTACACTGCATTTTCATAACATGACACTCCTGCAATGGCAAGACTTCATTTTCCTTTAGCATAGCAGCCTTCCATTACTAGTATAAGAGAATAGAGAGTGAAATATTATTCTTAATTTATATTTTTTTCCTACAGAAAGAGATCTTCCAGTTGGCCTAGATCAAAAAATCATAACGTGGGAGCTGGTGCAAAAAGAGAATTATCTTGTAAACCTTGAACAACAAAGGAAAGAAACCGATGAAGAAAGACTGAAGGCCACATCTAATAAGTATGTTATTCTGACTCACAATTAGTGTTCCTTGCAAGTCTTCATCTTTGAATGAAATAAACATTCAGGTGCTTGTAAAGTTTATATGATGAATCCAACTAGAATGCAGTTACAAAATATGCAGTCCATTAAAAACCGTGAGAGGCCAGCAGCACTACTACATCAGAAGAGTTTTTGGCACTCTTGAAGCACGTCCAATTAAGCTCTAGCTCCAACTGTAGGCTCCAGCCAAATCTGCAGTCAAACTCAATGAAAATCATATTAATGAGGAAACGGTGGAACAAGAGTTCCTTTGCTATACTGTAGTGCATGTACTTCCACCTCCTTTTGAATGGCTTAGGCTTTTGAATGGAAGTTTAAGATATCTTGAATTAATCCCAGCCCACAGATGCGGAAGAACAACTATTTATGACCTTATGGCATGAGACTACAATTTTCCACAAGAAATTAATGATATTGGCTCTGAAATTGTATTTAATTAACTGAGTCTCCATTTAAATACTTCTCTAAAATATCTTCCCACTAGGAGCATCACTTAAATTGGTCGAATAATCTAAAGAAAGAGGTACATTATTATTCAGAGGTTTACACTGAATGAGTAAATGTTTATTTTGTGTCTTTATGTGAGACACAAAGAAGTTATGTGCAGGGAAAACACAAACATCTAAGGCACTACAGAAAGCCAGACAGCAAAGCCTTCTTTAAAGAAGCTTTTAACACCTGTTTCAGCTATTTTCTCTTACGATAAAACTGACTTCAAATAGAGGCACAATGGGTGTGAAAGTTATCATAATAAGATCTTGTGCTGTCTGTGTTCTTTCTGTGCTGTCTTTCCAAACAAACCTTGGTCTGTCTAACTCACAGATTAGCTGGAGCCCAGAACAGCGTACTTGAGTAGGTTTCTGGAAAATACTCTTCTCCCTCTGATCTACACAGACTCTTAATTCATCATAATTTAGAATCATTATGTTGGTTTAAAGTTTATTCTCACAAGCAGATCACTGACAAACCCCAGGAGATCAAGCAATAAAAATGTGTGCAATTTCTTCCAAACAAAGGGCACAATTATATTCGTTCTATCTTTAAAGCTAGAAAGCTTTTTCAGATGGTACATTGTAGACAAAGTTACTGCTTGGAGGGGAAAAGTAAGAATCAGACCGGCTTCACAGGATTTCAGGTGTAGCAGAGCCACAAGGAGACTGGAAAAAGGTGCAGATGAACACCACTAAACCAGTGGCTTTTCATCTTCGCTCTTAGGTGGCAGCAGTGTGTATTTGAAAGGTTATGAAACCTTCAGAAAGTGATTCTTTGAACTTTGCATTGACCCAATCCCAAAATGCATTAGACCCATCCAGCAGCAGCTTTTCCACATAGACCTGAATGGAACGTAACCTGCCAGAGGGAAACTTTGAAATGGTAGTTAGGACAAGGGAGAGAGGGATTTGAGGAGCCTGTGGGGAATCAGATGCTAAGGTTAAGGAACTGATGGGAAGAGAGGGATACAGAAAGCATGTGGATAATACAATGATTTGGAGGCACTATATGGAAGTCCTCTACACAATCCCTTTGGACTGCATGGGAAGAGGGATTTAAATGTCAAGCCATTTCCAAAAAACGAAACCTTGTATGAATTTTAAATGGTTCATCTCCCTCGTGTTGATGGTAAATGTGGCCTCTGCTGTCACACCAGGATGAGTTTACATTTGGTACAGGTGGGATTAAGTGGTTGGAGAGGCAGAGCTGGCCCTAAGTCTCCTTTCTGCTGTCCTGGATTTCCACATCAGCTGGGCCCAAGTGGTCCCAGCCAGAAGCTGAACGGCTGCTGTGATCTCTGTGTTTATGAGTGAGAGTGTTCCAGAAATGCCGCTCTGTTCAACAAATACTTGCAGGAACACCTCAAAATGACAAAATTTTTAAGGGCATCTGGGATGTCTCAGCAGCACAGTTACCAGTGAGGGGTCATGGCTCTAGTAAGTTACACGGGGTTTATGTTTTAGGATTTACTTTGAGGCTTCCCTTTTTTGCTCAGCGTGTCTGCTTTGTTTCCACAGGGTAGATAATTTGTCTAAATATTTTAGTGGATTGAAAGAACAAGAAAAGCGGTTTAAAGCTATGGAAGCCCAGGTAAGTAATATTTTTATGGGCATTTGTATCAGCTTTAGGGTTTCATCACGTGTCTCTCATTTAGTGGTGGTTTGGCAGACCCTATTTAGGGATAAAGGGAAGGAGAAACTGATCTGTGTTATGATTTCGCTATAGTTACTGTTTTTTCTCTGGTGATACACATATGTAAAGAAACATTTCTGACCTCTAGTAGAAAGGAGAATAGAGCATTTCTTGCTCTCTTTGCTAGGCTACTTGAGAAGTGTTTTTTTCCTTCATTACGGGTGCTTCTGGAAGGAAATGCTTCATCTTCCCCACTCCATTCTTCTTCTTTGCCCAACCTTTTCTTTCTTTAAAACCGGCTACTTTGAAAATACCCGTATTCTTTTGACCTGAGCCAGACTAATCTTCTTGGACATCAGTTTTTCTAATTTTCTTAGATATCAGATACCAGCGTCTCAAAGGGAAGTGTCTAACATACAAATGTGAAACATCAATAATAGAAGGAAACCCTATCTTGAGCTTTTGATTATAAACCCTTGAAATATAAACAAACATTTCTTAAACAATCTGAAAATACGCAGCATTACCATGGGCTACGTAGCACAACTGCTATTGTTTTCTTTGTCCCTAGAACTCTCCAGTGTAATTTTGGCTTCGCTGAAAGTTCCTTATCTTAATACTCCCATCAGAGCTTCCCTCCCTTTCTTATCCATTTTATGGCTTCCTGAAAAGTCATGAAAAAAATGAACAATGTTGACACCAAATACAGGTCCACAGGAACACACAAGAAATGCTTTAATAAGATTGTGCCAGTTTGTGATAATGCAATATACTCACAAAAAAAAGGGAAGGTATTTAATACAAATCTTACGCTAAGACAGTTCAACTATGTCTTAAAAATAAAATTAAATTAAAAAGAGGTATCTGTGACACTGCTGCAGTCTGCTGCCTAGATTATCTTTCCTGTAAATTTAAGAATGGATAAAGTACTACAAAAATTAGCTGATGTAGAAATCTCTACCTATTTTGCAGATTTGCTACTGTACAGCTGTTATCTCCTCAATGGCAGAGCTTTTAACCAACCTCTTGTGCAACCAACCAGCTCCAAACTATACATGTAAGTATTGAAAACAATCATGGAAAAGCTAATTAATAGAGCTGAAAAATTTAGTTAAAAAAATGCAAGGAAAAAAAAAAAAAAGATTGGAAAGAACCACCTAATGATGTGCAAAGGAATATACATAGAGGTAACGGGAATATAAACAAGGAAGAGAATATTCATATTTCAGAATGAAAAAATTACCTTTTCAGAAAGGGACTATCACTTAGTGTGAGTTAGAATGATCCCACCCAACTTTGAGCGTGTAAATAAGCATCTATTTGCCACAGGGTTTCTTGAGAGGATTGTATCTTGGAGGCTCATTGAGTCAATGAGATAGTACTACCAAAGTATTACCAAAAGCATTTAACATGGATAACAATAGTCTTGGGGAAAAAAAAAAGAAAAAGACAAAGAAAAGAAGAGCAAGCCTCCTACTTTGTTCTAATCAACTCAGCTCATCTGCCTTCAGAGCTGCAACTGTTTCTGTCCCCTGTGGCCCAGGGGTAGCTAATATACAAAAATCTCTCCAAAAACATAAACCGAACACTAATACACGATATGGTAAAAAGAAGTAGCTGGAAACTCAGAAAAGTCATGACATGACAAGATCTCACATTACTCAGACTCGAACTAAGCTCAAACTTAATTCTGTTAGAAACTTATAAAACACCAATGTAAATTCCTTCATTATCAACATTCCAGTAAGAAAACCCCTCATGTAGCATAGCCATTTTAATGCTTTAAACTGCATAAACTTTAACTGCATAAATATCAGAAACTTAAATAGCTGAAAAATAAAGAAAAAACCTGTTTTTATCATTTACTGAGCTAATGCAAAGTAATAGAATCCACAGTATCTTTTTATCATGGATTATTTTCAACATTTTAAAGTTTCTTAAGCAATTACTATTATGTGCCCCTTGTCTTAAGGCTTTTAAACAAGCACATGGCTTTTACAATCCTATTAGGTGTGATGAATGCCAACACAGAAGTGCCTTTGCCAGAAAGAAGTGAAAGAGAAGAGCGTGCAGATCAGTCCGAGACTGACATCACATACATCGATAATTAAATTTTACTTATTTTGTCCTACTGAACTACTGTAGAAGTAAAATAATAATCTCATTAAGGCCTAAGGCCCAGCTTGCAGTGTCTTTATGCCAAGCACTGTCAATGTTTGACACTACTGAGGATTTCTTATTCTTCCTCCTTCAATTACTTGGGCTTTCTTCCCTCCTGCTCCTATAATGCTTGGTTCTTTCTCCAAAACTCCATTCCACAAATCACATTAAAAAACTTTCTTCTCCAGGATGACTCCACCACCTTACTTCCTAAATACAATCTGCCTTCTGTTCTCCAGATACCATACCCTCAATCCAACGTCACCATTGCTCATTTACACATTTCTCTGTTCAAGGGAGTCTCCCTTTTGAAGGGTGATCATTTATGCACTAAAAACCAAGCCACTTCCTTGGCAAAGAAAGCAAGCTCCTACCTCTAAGTTGCTTAGAAAGGAAATCAAGCAATAGCTTCCACAGGAAAGGGCCTGGAATACTGAACTATTACAACCCTGGAGTTCTTACAATCCTCATACTGCACTCACCGTCTTCTCTTCCCATGCTGGCTTCTGCGAGGTATTCTTTGCCGGTGTTCCTGACTGAGGGCTCCTCACTCATTCCCAGAAGCTGGAATCTCGCTGCGCGGTCCTCAAAGGTGGGGTGGCTTGCAGTCGCTTTCCAAACACAAATGGGATGGCCCTCCCGCAGTCGGATCCCCAAGCCTCTGCTGCTCCTGTTTTTATTGTAATGCCAGCCCGTAGCTGCTGTCAGCTTGCTGCTGCTATTAAAGGAGACTCTGCCTTTGTGTACCATGGACCACTGCATCTACACCTAAGCGGTTTCCTGATTTCATTTTACTCTTCTCTCTCAAAGGTCAAGGGGAAAAAAAAATAAAAAATTAGAGACTTTAAAGCAAGAATGTGTAGCAAAAATTTTCCTACAAACTAGGAATTTGGACTGTGTGATTTTTTTTCATTACTTAAACCGGCGTGTACGATTTTAGCATACAAAATTTGGCTGGCTTTATTAGAAATTTCTATGAAAAGATACACCAATAAAATGAATATTACTACCATCCTTTAAGGGGAAATTTCTTTACGGCATCAGAAGGGGGAAGTAGTGGGTTGTGGTCTTTCTTAGATAAGCTTCAACTGAACTTAATTTCCTCATACACGTAACACTGCTTCTATGCAACATAAGTGTAGGTTGCACAAAAGCTTTCTGTTATTAGAGGCTGACAAAAAAATAAATCTGAGATCTGATAAAAATACCTTTCTGACAAGAGTCGTTTATTCATAGATACTCGACTTGTTATGATGTCTTCATAAAATAGGCATCTGTCCAGTTTATTCAGCTGTGCTGCAGACCTCAGCAATCCCATTTGGAATTTTGGTACTGTCTTACCGGTTCTGCACCCTAGGCAAGCAGAAGTTATAAAACCAGTAAGTTTGTATTAAGCTACATTTTCTGCTAGGAAATAATGCATATCTTACAACCAGCAAGCACTGATCTGGCAGCAACTTCCATTCTGAAACAGCTACTATTTCAATTGTGTCCAGCACATTAACTATCTGCTGGAAACCAAAACCTATCTATGTGGAAATGTTGTCATGTTCCATTCACATGCACTGGAAAAACTGAAGTATTTAGCAGTGACCCATTAATTACTGCAAATCATTAAACCATACACTCATGAGAAAATACATTCTGCTTTTAAAATTAAAAGGTGGATTTCAAAAGATGGAGCAATATTACTCATTTTACATTGTTTCCTGTTTCTGCTGCCAAATGACTCATCGGTTCAAACACAAAGACCCACATGATTTGGGCCTATCAGTCCATTATCATAAGATGCCAATACCCCCCGCAGAGAAAGTAACCTCCTCAAATATCCTTCAGAGTCTGAGCAAACACAGTCTAGCAAGAAAGATCACAAACTCTAAAGAAGTAATCTTTCACTACATGGTTATAAATACTAACATTGGGGTTGGCTATTTAGAACACTGGAAAAAAAAGTCAGTCCAAACTAACGTGAACTAATTTGAGTTTCAAATCATATAGCCTTTCAAAGAATTTAGTATTTCAACCTTATTTATAAAATTTATTAGCATTCTGTGTGGAAAAACTACTATAGTTGACATTCATTACAATGTAATTCATTGTATGAGTTGATTCTATATATTGCAAGATTGAAAATGTTAGAAATGTGTTAACCTCATAATAGGGCAAGCTTAGAGTAACATCCCACAAGACTTTTGAGACAATTCTCAAATCAATTAAACTGAGCATTTGTTAAAACTCCTATAGCTGCATTAATCAGCATGGGTCAAAGAGATGAAGAAATCAAGCTGCAACTAAAAGTTTATTGAATCCCAAAGAACATAAAAATATCCAGTTCTGGTACAAATTCCTCATTCCCACCGAATTCATACACGGAATCAATGTGGAAGCAGTGCCATCTGGAACGGACATACAAATCACATCATAACATACCAGTAAGAGGAAAAGCTGCTGCCCAACTTAAAAGAGACTTGCAAATTGTGATCTAGAGTCAACATGGGAAGACTTTGCTGAAGCCATCCTGAGCGCGTCGTCACCAGGATGCACCCAGAGTTGTACCTCTCTGGAGGAAACATTGTGTTTAAAAATCTCTCTCATGTAACACTCAATAAGGTAAATATTAAGCCAAACTTAGTATTTGGGCTCTCCAAACTCATGATTGGCTTCCATTGTGCTTTCACTCTCAACAGTAATGAGGAGGTGTTAAAGAAGAAAAAGGTTTCCTTGCTGGGACAGGGTCAGGAGAAATCACATCTAGTGGAAGACTAGGTTTTATTTTCATTGTTTAAAATTCTCTACACAGTGAGCTCATCATCTTTGTTCCAGGATTTGACAACAGCTCTAAATTTGGGGGTTAGTAAGAAGCCTTGCATCTTTTTAGCTAACATATCTTTTTCTTTGGTGCTCAGGGCTACTTCAAACTTCAGAGCAAGCCCCAGGGAGCTGCTCAAGCAAACAAAGCACACTGTATTCTCTCCTAGTAGGGTGCAACTATCCTGTGCCCACAGACTTCTCACAGACCAAAAGCATGGAGAGTATTTTAGGTAGCTTAATTTCTAACAATATAAAATGTTCTTGCTGGCTACAATGCAAACCGTTAGACAAAAAGCTATCACGTGGTTTCCAGACCAGAAAAAAATAAGTCAGAGAAAAACAAACAAACAAACATATATATCCAAAGACAACACAAGTCCTTGGATGTCGCAAGTGTGCTCCACTCTTCAGGACTCTTCTCCATCCCCTTCATCATCTACTTTAGGTCGGAAATTTTTCCTATTCTTCTTCTTACTGCAATGGAATCCAACTGTTTCAACTGATGGCTCTTCACCTGCACCACTAAACCTGGCACTAACCTTGCCTTCTGTACTCAGGTCCCCCGCCATCGTGCATTCCTCCTCCTCTGTTGCCTTTCCACTTCCACTATTTAAGTGCCCCAGCTCTACCTTATCCTCCTCCTTTAAGTCATCAGTCATCTTAAGAGACTTTCCTTTCAGATCTGTTTTCACATGTTTCTTATCACCCTCCCCTGTTGATGTTTTCTTTTCCAGTCCATCAACACCCCTTTTCATTGGTTTGGTGAAGACAATCCTTCCAGTTCCACAGCTGGAAGGGTTCTGGTTGAAGTATGGGGTGTAGCTATCTTGGGTAGCTGAGCTTTGTTCCTCCCCTCTTTTCTTCAAACCCTCTAGAAATTCCATGGCCACTGCCCTGTTAGTCTTGTCAGTCGACTCTGAAACTCCCTCTAGGCTGTATTTGGTCCAGCGCTCTGGGTGTGCCACATAGTCAGGCACTGCAGGAGAGGTTTTGGGAGCCTGCACTGGTTTGGCTTGCTTTCCCAGGCTTTCTAGAACCATGTTACTTGAAACCGTGGCTGGAGGCAGTGGGCGCTTAAACCTCCCATCAACAACATTATCTTCAGGCATTGAGGGCACAGACAACTTGGCCGCCTCTTCCAGGCAATCAAAGATGCTCTGGCTACGGAGAGAGAATGTAGAACTCATGCCCCTCAGGTGGAACGGCTGGACAGGAGATCTGTGACTGCTGTTTGAAGAGTCGGGGGTCTCCCCTGATCTGTAATCCCTGTCATCTACAGACGGCTCCTCAGGAGATATTGTGTCAACTTCCGCTTCATCCGCTAACCCCAAATCATCGGAATCAGAATCGCTGAGCGACACTGTGTCTGAGGGCAAAACTCCTTCATAGTCTGTGCCACCACCAGCCACTATCCCCAGAAAGGGTTCACCTCCATCCTGATCTCCCATCTTCAAGCTATCGCTCCACTGAGGTCTTTGATGTAGGCCCAGGAACAGCTGCAAATACGGTTTCCCAAATGCCCAGCAAATTTAGTGCCTAGAATACAAAGGAGCATAAAAATTCAACTGTGCAATGACAATCAAGTATGAGATTATCATTCTGTGCTGTGCAAAATAATTATTACTGCAATATCACAGGCAGCTGTACTTCAGAGATTCCTAAGCAATTTTGCTTGAAATAAAAAGATTATTTAGGGAGTGAAAGCACATTAAAATTAAAGATTTATACGAGACTCAATACAAGAATATGAAGTAATTAAAAATAGCATTGCACAACAAATTTCATTAAAGGCTATGGCAGGTGCAATTACTAAAAATTGAGCAAATCTGAATACCCCATAACTGTCTTGCACACATTCCAAGAGAAGGCAATCACCTTTCCAATCTACACCCTGCATCTATCATATGTCCAGAAAACCACACCCTAATCTCTCACACTTTCCTTTGGCCATTATGATCCTTTACTGCAGTAGCTACTTTATCTCCTGTCCCAAAAATCATCACATTCTGCATATTATAAAGGACACTATCACTGACAGAGGTCAGTGGCAGAGAAGCCACAAAAACATCAGGGCTGCAGCTTCAGGATTGCTTTAAAGTAGCATGAAGTACAAGCTCAACTCCTTCCTTGGCTCTAAGCTCTCATGTCATTAGTAGGTTCCTGGAATCACAAAACAGGCCAGGTCAAGAAATCAATCCCACTGGATTAAGAAAACTAATTGCACATGCCATGCTTGTGTATGGAAACAAGGTGGGGGTGCAACCAAGGGTCTGGAAGAGCTGGCCCTTCAGTCAGTAAAAGACAGTGTGATCTGAGACCTGAATTCCAGTGGCTGGAATACCCGATTCACTCTGCCACCTGCTTGAAGGGAACCTTGCAGAACTGAGGCAGCTGATGAACATGCTACTGCTTGCCAGGAATCAGAGACCGAGCTGGAAAACACGCGCCTAAGTTCAGCTCACAAAATCGTGAACTATAAAAACAGTTCTAATATATTATTAGAATAAGCTCAACTACCTAATTATAGGTTCTTTCTGAAATGATGCAGTAAACAGACATGGAAAGTCTGTAGTCACTCACTTTCTCTTGAGACTGAGTCAGCTTCCCCTCCTGAGGGTCAGTTAAAGCCACCAAAGATCTCAGCACTTCCACCCTAGAAAACAAACATTTCCATCAAGATACTGGAAATGTAGTTTTGAAATGAGTTTTAAAAATAATTCCTTCCCCCTGAATCATCCAAAACTGCAGATCAGAGTTCTAAATCTGACACAAACTCATGCTAGTATAAAAGTCTGAAGATATTCCTGGATTTTTGGCAAAAGAACAACGTGCAGCCTAATAAGGCAGGCACCACTATATTTACTCAGTCTCCACATTCACACCACCAACCTTATTCTGTAGAACAGAAAAGAGCATTTGGAAAAATAAAACTGTATCTTTTATGTGCAGTACACCATTACTAAATGAACAGTATTAAATGCAGCTAAGAAAGTATAAAAATGATAGTTACACATTGCAAGTATTAAATGCTGTAAAAAAGTGACCATGGATACCAGAGTTGTGTTTTCAGAGAAAGGTCATATTCACAGTTAGGGCCAGGTTTTCATGAAGCATTAAAACATAGAAAAACTTCTGAAGAATTCAACAGACTGACTGCTGTGTTCCACGTAAAGTCATTTAACAAAAATGATCTGACGACTGCTTTTGAAAACATTGCACTCAGTGTAACCTTAATTAATTAATGGAGAATAATAATCTGAAAATCATACATCCTTCTGCTTAGTTTTATAACACATGAAAGTAATGACTACAACCCAAAAGAGACACTAAAACACATAACTGACTACTTAAACTGCTGTTTTCAGATGGCAGTGTAAGCATCCATCACAGGCTGTGAATCAGGGTGTCTCTTGCCTGAGGGCAGTTACATAGAAAGTGAACAATTTGCTACTGAAGAGATGTTTTAGCCTTAGAAGCCAAACATGCTGACCCTTACAGCACACCAGACAGACTCACAGGTTTGTTATGGTGACATGATCACAACACAACTGGGATAGGATGGTGTCTCTCTGGAAGGGAAGGCCCTCATTGGACTCTTCCATCCTGGTCTTACTCAGGCTCCGTGTGTCCTCCTGCAGTCTGTGAGGAAAAACAGAGACCCCAGTCACTCCAAACCACAGCCAAGACCCCACTCTGGTCGCAGAGACAGCAGTGCAAGCAAGCCTGCTGGCAATCACCTACCAGCCCTAGCACAGGATGGTGCCCACAGAGCCCGACAGGCCAAGGAAGAGGGCGGCAGCCTCCGGCCCCAGCTCACACCTCCAGTGGCCACCCCACCCCGGAGAGGGGGCAACAACAGAGCCCAGGGCCTTGCCCAACATAATGAGTGCAACCCCCAGCCTCAGCCGCTCTGCCTGCCCGCCCGCCCAGGGCCCGACTCCCTTCCCCGGGCCGCGACCCTGTTGGATATAACCTCCCTACTCGCCTCGCAGGCCTCCGCACCCCCGAGGGCTGCCGGCCCCCTCCAGCCCCCACGCCCTTCTGCTCATAACACCGGGGCGCCCCTCCCGCCCAGCGCCCCGCCACCTCCGGACAGACAGCAGGAACAGCGGGGAAGGAAGGGGTGAAGCGCCCCGTACCCCGACACGGCACAGGCCCGACGCCTTCTCACAGCGGCCGTCCGCCTTTCCCGCCTCTCCCCGCCGCTGACGGCCTCGGCGCGGGGTCCGCTGGGACACCGAGTCCCTACCAGCCGCCACGGGGCTGTGGGGCGCGGCGGCGAAACTACAGCTCCCTGCAGGCAAAGCGGTGCGGAGGGCGTGGGAAGGGGCGGAAGCCGACCCTCCCATTCCGCCTCTCACCTTTTTGTCCTGGGAGTTGTAGTCCTCCGCCTTTCCCTCGGCGGGGGACATTTTGATAGCCATGGAGCGGGGCCGCGGCGGCGGAGGGACTACAGCTCCCGGGGTGCACCGTGCCGGCCGCCATTTTGCAGCCAGTGAGGAGGCGGGGAGGCCTCGCCGTGGCGTGGCTGAGGCAGGGCGGCGGGGTCTCGGGCTGCCCGGCGCCGAGAGGGGGGCGGCGTGGCGGTCGCCGCCTTACAGAGCCTGGGAAATAAACATGCCAGAGTTTTTTTTTCCTCATAAGAAAAGCAGGGTTTAGTCACAATGAAACCTCAGGCGGAAGTGTCTGGGGTTTTGTTTTGTTCTTTTTTTTTTATTTTTTTAAATTTGTATGTATTTGTTTTCTAACCAGAAAACCCCAAGTCACTTGGGGCGTAAAACCATGATCCGTTCAAAAAAACAAAAAATAAAAATTTTCCATTTTCTCTCCCAGGCAAACATTCTTTGTGTGCGTGTTGAGAAGTGGAATTCTATCTGAAACTCTTTTATTAGTCTTGGCCAAAGATGCCTTTTTTTTTTTTCCTGCTTTCAACAAAAAGTTTTAAATTTTCGGAGTAAATATATTTCCCAGGCGGCTTCAATATTTAGCTTGTTTACCCTGTGTTAAGGAAAAAAGAAGAGGTAGGGCCCAACAGTTTGCGGGGCGCATCTCCACCCTTTCCTCAGGTGTGGCCCTGGGTCTTCATCATTAAATTAAATTAAGTTAAATTACTGCTTGCAAAGAGCCTGAGCCTCTAAAGGTCCCACCTTCACCTCACCCCTCTCTGAGGGGCTTGCTGTAGGCCTTGAGTGTAAGCAAAGCTCACCTATGCCATGTTTTGCAATGGAAGAAGGAAATAGCCCCACTTTATCCATGTCAGTGGTGCTTTGATTTCCCCCTGTGGCATCCTGGCCCCGCTGTGACACGGGTGGCTTTGCCCATGGGTGTGCTGGAGGGGAGGCCGCTGAGGAGGCGAGGCCTCTCTGAGTCGCACCTTAACACAGACTGCAGCCACTTCATTCGCATTGTCAGTTTTCAAATCCATCCTTTTGCCTGCTGGAGTGTTGCTAACGAGGGTAATTTATGAGGCGAGGGCTGGGTTTGGAATACATTTGGCAGCGATGACGAGGCTAGCGCAAAATGTCTTCTGTCGGGCTGGAGTCGTGCTGTAGTTGTAAAACAACAGCTCTAGAGGTGGTTCCCTGTTTGGTGATCCTGTTTTTTTTTAACATATACACATATGGTAGCACAGCCCCAGGCATTCAAAGGGGTTCCCGGCTGGAGGAAGAGAGGAAAACAGGAGTCCCTTAGTAAGCGAGTGGGAAGGGACAGGAGGAGTGTAGTAAACAGGGAAAGGGAGCCAAGAGTAACCCACAGGTGAAGGCTGCCAGTGCCATGTCACACTGTCGAGGGTGCCGGGGACACAGCTGGTGTGAGCCTCTGGGGCTACTAAGAAGAAGGCAAGGAGTAGCAGGGCAGTAGCAGGGCAGTAGCGTGCCCTGTTTCTGTAAGGCTGGAGGCAAGCAGGGTACGTACGCCATGGACCACTGCAAATGATGGCGGTCTTTTGTTTTGAATAGTGGTTTTAATGGGTCAGAGGGGCAGAAGAGGGCTATGCCACCTCCACCATCTCCATCACCTGCGGATGTGGGTGCCTTCAGAGGCAAGCCCCACTCCTCCATTTCCACAGGTTTTCAGTTTTTGCCTGGATGCTGTGTATCTTCATGACCAAGGTCACCTTCAGAAGCTGACTGTACCCTTTTCCTCCTTCCTGTCTTTTTGCAGAAGATTTAGTGTCGCACACTGCAGATGAGCTGCTTTTTCTCTGGTGGCTGAGGACAAGACAGCTTGCAGCGGTGGATATGCTGGTGTGTTGGGATTTTCGCTATTGCTTGGCGACAGCTGAAATAAAAATAATGAGTCAGACTCTGAAGATGAACAGATGGTAAAGCGTTTTCCCCTCGCCGGCATGAACTAAGGTGGCTTGCAGAGGGGTGGGGGGCTGGAAGGAGGATCTGAGCTGCAGCGTGGGACATCATCCAAATGAGTGGGCTGCATCCTGTCCTGTGCGTGGGCGCCGAGGGGCCGGCTCCTCTGCAGAGGTGGCCCCACATGTCTGCAGGGATCCAGAGCATCTCCACATATGGGGGTGGTGTGTGCAAACGCATACCAGTCTCAGCCCCGTTACTGGGTGCCTCGTGCTCCATTCTTGCAAATAAATCTGTCGTTTGGCCCCCATCCGGTAACTGTTTCCGCTGCTCGCTGGCAGGCTCCTGCTGCTTCTGCGCTCAGAGCCTGGGGTAGGCGCCTGGCAGGGACCACTGGCCCCTCTCCTCGCTGCTGTAGGAAGGTGGGAGGCGATTCCCTAGCAGCCGCCCAGATCCTGCAAGCCAGACAGAGCCATTGGATGCATTTGCACCATCTCCTTCATCTGGAAGGAGTAAGGAAATTAGGCTGGTAATAGCCAACGCAGCTGATGCTGGAGCTCCTGGGGGGAGGTGGGGAGGGAAAGGAGTGTTTTCCTGCAGGCAAAAGCACAGCCGTGACCACCACATCCTGCTCTGCTGTGGGAAGGCTTGTCACACCAAGCCAGAGTGGGTACAGGGTGAGGGAAATAATTCAAGTTGCCTTCTCCTATTTGCAGGAAGGCAAGGCTACAAATGGCCTTGAAATCGCCATGTGGTAAGTTTCCAGGATTCAGTGCTTGAGATGGCCTCTCTTCTACACCCAGCTTCACTTGTTTTACTTTGTATTTTCATTTGGTCCTGGCTCACCTGCAAGCAGGTTTGACTTATTCCCCTGCTCTTTACCCATGTTGGTGCTTTTTCCCCCTAAGGTAACTACATAAAACTAGCTCTTGTGGAGTGAGCTTTAATGCAGGAGAACTATGAAAGTCTTTATAAACATCATTCTTCACAGTAACAATGTTATCGCCGGCCTGGAGAGGACCTGCAGGGAGAACCTGCAACCCCTTTTCTGTTAAGAGACACTGCATGTGTGGGAGGGAACTGAAGTAACTTAAGAGGAAAATTGATACTCTCTGCAATTATTTGAAACTTTTAAAAGAAACAAAAACAGTGGGGGGGGCCTTTGGTTATTTCGATTGAGCTACAGAATATTTGTACTAAAAAAACCTCTTATAATTCTTGCTGCTTTTTCTCTCTTTCCTATCATTGGCCCCAGCATGCTCGATACTAACAGCTAAGGGCTGAAAGAGGTCATTGGAACCAGCTGAGGTCCTTGAAGGTAACATCAGGAAAAAAAGCCCCAAAACCACAAACACCTAAAAATCCCCAGACCTTTTCTTAGAACATGACCTGTAGAAGCTTTAGGAACCAACACAGGGCTTTGCATTTAACAGCAATAACCCTTGCCAGAGGAGATCTTACCAGTTTACTGGCAACGGGCAGGCAGGGTGTTCTTCCTGCGTCATCTCACCTGGCCTAACACCAACACCTCTTCAGTACTCAGCAAAGCTCTGTTTCAACATGAGTGAATGCCCTAGCAAAGCAGCACCAAGAAACACTTTTTTTTTTTTAAGAAAAAGGTGTGATTAAATGCTAATTAGAAATGTTACTTGCAACCACTGGCGCTTGAGCTGGGTCATCTAAACCCAGTGAGAACACCTAGTGGTCCACTCTAGCATGCCTGGCTGCAAAGTTTATGTATCCTCTGATGTATCTGCAAGTGTGAAAACAAGGGGGCTTCCAGTTATGCAGCAGTTCTAGCTGTTGGGATGTGTTTTCCCTTTGCTCCAGGTCCCTGGGCTCTGAAGTGAAAGTGTCAGGCTGCCTGCCTCAGACAAGCTGCCAGAGGTTGGCTGAGGAGCTCGCACCGGAACAGCGCTTCTGTCACCTCCTGCTTAGGTTGTGTCCCATGCAAGGGTAGCTGATGCTTCCCAGGCTGAAACTGAGAGGGGCAGTCAGACAAAAACACACAGATTAACACTGTGCCTCTAGTTCAACTGCAGAGCGTGGTACATGTGGGATTTTGGGGTTCTATCCTGTGTCTTTATCACTTCATCAAGAGCTGGTGAGGTAGTTGTTTCCCTCTCCCCTTCAGCACTCACTGATGGCAGATGGTCCCTCACTCGGGGCTGTATTTCCACTCCTGTCTCCTCTCTGGTACAGCCACTGCTTCCCAGTCCTACCCTGCCAGTAAATGAGATTGTTAAAATAATCACCTTTTTTTTTCTTTTCAAAAGTCTTCTCCTCTGTTGCCAGCAGCTTGCCCTGGAGCTGAAACTCCCTCCTTTCCCCTAACTGGAAGGGCCACGCTGCCATGCCCAGTAAAGGAAACGTCGGTTCAGAGGAGGAATGTGAGCACAGGCACTATCTAACACATCCTTCATCACTGAACTTGCAAGCAGAGCTGGCAGGCAGAGAGAAGCTGTGGCTGGGATCCAGCAGCGAGGGTGCTTTCCTCTACAGAAACCTCCGCCATCAACAGCTCTTGTATAGGAGAGCTGGCTGCTTTTTTCCCCTCCTGTGGAAATATTGCAAATCTTGGTTAGAGCTTAGACAGCCTCTTATTAGGGAGTGGACATAAGCAATTTATACATGTTAGTCCCAGCTGTTTTAGTAGGAATCAATTAGGTATGTTGCTACTTACAACATAAACAGCCCAGAAGAGGCTTACAAAAAATACCTCCAGAACTTCTCAGTAGAAACTGTCTAGAGTTGGTTGTGTTTTTTTAAAAAACAAAAACCAACACAGTTTGGGAGGGGATGGAAAAGAATTCCACTGGAAGAAATCCCAACTTGCTCTGGCTTAAAAAAATTCACTCTTGTATTTTTATTTTATGAAAATTGTTTCACAAAAAAGATTCCACAGTCACATTCCTAGGAATTGGCAACTCCACAGTAAGGTCTCCAGTGACTTTCCAAGTCCTTCATACCTCTGGAGAAAAATGTTTAAGAGAAGCAAATGTTTAAGAGGGCTGTTGGTGCAATATGAGAACAAGTGGGTCACAAGCGTTCCACCCACCCCTTCCCCTCACAGTGGTTTATCCCTGTGGCCTCACATGCTCCTACACAGCAGGACTGCTGTTTTCCAAGACTAACCCGTGTCTTCACGTATCAGCACCTTAAAGGGGCCTGGTTTGCCCCGTCCTCTCCCTGCATCTCAGCTCAGGCATCACGTACAACTTGATCTGTTCCCAGCGCATCCGTGTTAATGCTCAGACCTGAGATGCAAAGAGAGGGGCCCAGGTCTGGCCAAGGAAGGTTTAAGGTCCCAGCTCTGCTCCCAGGCTGAGGTCCCAAGGCACACGCTCTGGATGCCAAACACTCCCCGTGCTTTGCCAGTTTGTTTCCACTATCGTTTCTCCCCCTCTGGAACACCAGCCTGAGTCTGACGGTGACTCACATCAGCTTAATCCTAGCTCCAGAGAGGCAGGAATAATTTTATCCCCATCTGGAGCAACAACACAGCACCACAATCCAAATGTTTTAAGGCATGAAACAAAGAGCATCGCGTTCATGGGAAACCACCTAGAGGGTCAGCTAAGGACTGCATTCCCTGCAGCCTGAATTTTGCTTGAACACAAGAACAAGACAACCCTGTTCCCTTGGAAGACATGGCAGAAATCTGTACGTGATGGAAAGAAACGAGATCTGACAACACATCATTAAAAATCCACTAACAAGGAGGTTTGCTTTCTTTTCTTTATTGTTTTTAAATATAACTTTTTTTTTTATTCTTTCCAGAAGTCATTATGTCCGACTCCATTAACATTCAGGTAAACAAGTGAAAGAACAACAGATGGGCATGATCTTGTAGCACGGGCACAGCCGCCGGGAGCAGGGCTGGCCTTTGCAGGAGCTGAACATGGCTCTCCCTCGCCCAGCATTCCCTCCCTCGCCCAGCATTCCCTCCCTCTCCGTGTCGGCACGGGCAACGGCTGGCAGCCACCACAGGACCCCCCTGCTTCAAAACCAGCAAGGAGGCCGAGGGAGGGCAGAGAAAGGCAGGCAGCCATGGGATCACAGCACTTGGCCTCCCCCCTCACTCTCCCCTGATGGTGCGGAGGGGGTAGGTGATGGAAACAGCAGTGGCATCACCAGACCAGCTGCAAAAATCAGACCAGCCCCAGGCCAGATGGCAGCAGAGGGCATTTCAGGCCATTTTCGGCCTGATTTAGGAGAAGCCCCTCGAGCGTGCATGGTACTGCCACCCCAGCCCCCTGAATTTCAGCACAGGGAAAATCTCCCTATTTTGCAATTCACATTGGCTCCCCCACAGCCGTGCCCGCCCTTCCCTTGAGGGGGGACACAATTGCAGCCACCGTTGCTGCCGGCAAGCAGCCCCCTTGCCTTCCCTCAGCACCATTCTGGATGCGTCCCCAGCCTGCCCGCAGGCCCCCCTCCCGGGGGCTGGAAAAACCCATGCTGTTGAAGCCTGGTTCACAAAGCATCCTGGTGTTAAGGTTAACTGGTTGTAAAACTGCAGCAGTTCATCACACTATGCACACTATGAGAAATGTTTATTAAATTGATTTTTGTTTCATTTCTTTTTAAAAAAAAAAAAAAGGCAGAAAGAAGTTAAACACACTGCTTTGTGGCATGCTCCACAGTATGAAAAAAATCCCAAGCATTCAGTTAAGCTGTCAGGGGCTCTGTTTGACCTTTCCATGTGGTCTTTGAACTTAGACCTGGACAGTTGACTCTCCTCATCCTCACCAGCCTCCCTCCTCCTCCCTGCCCCAGCTGATAACTGTTTTCTCAGCTGTCAGTTGCTCCAGGAGGATACTTCATCCTTGGTTTGGTTTTTGGGGGTGTGGAGGGGAGCAAGATGGGGCCCCATGTTGCACACACAAGTGTGCAGGTATGCAGGAGAGGGTCTGAGGCAGGGCAGGGGTCCTACCTAATGGGTTTTCTTCCCCTTCACCTCAACTGAGCACCTGGTAGAAGAGCCCTGTTGCTTTTGGATCCTAAGTGCCTACAGCAGGGCGAGTCCCCTCTGCCCTTCACAGCTCCCTCTCCAGTTTGTTTTAACTCAGGTTAAACTCCTCTTTCACAGGAGGCCAGACTAGACAAGACCCAAGTGGGTAGTTTTTTCTGTGAGGGTTTCTTAGCTATTTCATCATTCTTAAGAGTGACAGCTCCTCTCTTCTCCCAGGACTGACCCCTCCTGATGACAACACGGGGACCCTCAGCTGGTAACTCTAAAAAATGCATTAACTTCTCACTGCAGAACCCCTTCTGCCCCCTTCCATGACCTTCCCAGCTGATGGCCCTTCCCCTCCTGCAGCACCTTTCCTGCAGCAGCTGCAGGGGTGGGTGGCAGCTCAGAAAGCTGCCTTCGGAGCTCCCCACGGTGACAAGCCACCTCTGAAATGAGCCAGAGAGCAAACGGCAGCCCATGCAGGACACGGTCTGCACAGATGTCCTGCCCTTCTTCCTCCCACAGCTCAGACTCCCTCTCCATATACCACTTTCTCCCAATTGTTCCTGCCTGGGACAACCCAGACCCCTAAAGATACAATGCCCAAGGACACACCTGACCTGCATCGACACCCAGCCTGTCTTCAAACAGAGCTCCAGCGACATACACAGCATCAACTGAATACTGAACAATATCAAAAATACGGTATAAGGAAAGAAAACAGAACTGAAATGCTTAATGGCATATTTATACACATTTATCAACAGTCAACAAAAAAGGCGGCAAGTTACACATCCATTCTGTATGCTAACAATCCCGATGCACATATATGTAAACACACATGCTTGGTTGATGCATATACATAAAGCCACATAACAGAGTAGATGACCTGAAGGAGCTACGCTGGGAGCAGGGGAAGGGGTTACCCACTGCAAAACCTCCTCTCGTTCTCCATGTGCACAACGTGGACATTCAGGGCAGTGTTGCTTTAAGGCTATTTCTAAGGCTGAATCTTTTCTTGTCCAACCCTCACTACGAAGTTCTGTTGAAGCACTTCCTCCTCTTACCCAGCACAACTTGATATATATATATATATTTATGTATATACTTTTTAAAGGCCCTATATACTAGAAGGCAGGAAGAGGAAAGGGGGGGAGTGGAAAGGGGGAAAAGCCTCCAAATGGATCAGTTTGCCCCAGTGCAGGAATTTCCTATCCCGTGGTGGCAAAGGCCATGGCAGCCACACGCAGTGGACAAGGTACTATTTTAAAATGATCACAGGTCTCCCTCTCTATCCGATCTGAAGCTCTTTGTTGCAATGAACGGGGAGTGTAATACTTTAAGAAACAGAAACATTCCTGAAGTGGGGAAGGTGATCGCTAGTTTCAACTCCTCCCCTTACCTGCTTCCAGGTGGCAAAGAGCTGAGAGACTATCATTTCCAGCTCAAGTGCCCATACGGCTAAGGAAAAGGCTTTGCTTAAAAATATATATCTATAGAACTATACATATAGATCATCTTTTTAGAGACACTCTGATTTTATTACATAGCTCCTGGGTCACTCTCCCCCTCTATCTACATAGTAACACAGTGGCACACAACAGAAGCCACACATCAAATTAGGAATCAAAGCTTACCAGGTCACAAGAAAGTGTTTCAACTGGTGTGATCTAAAAACCTGAATTCCTTTGCTTTAATAAGCTGATCTCCTGCCGTTGATGTAACTGGAAATGGAAGGTCTTAAAAATAAACTTTTTTTTTTCAAAATCAGGTTATGAAAATTTCCCAGCAGTGTTACAGTGCATGACAATATGCTAAAAGTAAGGAAAATTTCATTGAACAAGAGAGTGATGCAACAATGAAATTTTAAGCATGTATGCATATGGCTGGGAACCCCCAAGCATCATCCTGCAATACATAAATGCAGGATTTCTATGGTTAAGAACTCTTTTTTTTTTTTTAAGTTTTATTCTTTTTTCCAACATCATTTGTATGCAAGCATTAGCTTAACAGTGGAAACTTAGCACAGAACTAGACTCTCCCAAAAACATGTCTATAAAGAAACACTGAAGGAGGTTTAAAAAGTGACTTAATTTTCAGGTTGTTACACTTGAAAAACTGGAACTAAAATTCACGCCCTTAACGTAACCAATCGAGGGAAACAAGCCAATTTATAGTTACAGCCCCAAGAAAAAAACCCCTCAAAAACAAAAAGCCAAAAACATCTCCACTCTTCAGAGTGTAAAATAAGTCTAAGCGTGACTCCTACTGAGGATTGACCTATCGATGCAAACAGGTCAGAGAGGAACAACGTGCTGGCGTTGCCCCAAGGACACATCGCGCCCAGGCAATGGGGGTTGTTTCCTCTTCCCCAGGCTTCAGGCAGTCTGCCAGGCTTCCCTACAGACAGCTTGGAAAAGCCAGGGAGTCGGGGTTATGGTAGGAAAAGATGAGTACAAATGAACAAAAATGCTAAATCCTGCTTCAGCATCCAAATACGTATATAAAAAAGGTTGGTGTTCAAAAAAGAGAGTAAAAACCAAGGCAAAGTTTTCTGCTAAAAGGCTGCAGCCTTCTCCTCTGTACATCTTCCACCAATGTTATTTCTGAGTTACGGGGGGTGGGGAAGGGGGAGGAAGGACTCGATTTCCTGCTACAGCAGCTTTCCCCATCACACAAAACTGATGTGTAACTAACTCAGCCACAAGGATAACGGGAAAGTTTTATTTATTAAAAAAAAAAAAGTACTTCAAAATAAAAATGATAAGTACTGTATGGTAATATTGGAAGTATTTATATACATAGTTTTCTTTGTCTTTTGTTGAAATGTCTCCTGGTCACTTGGTGGCACTTGGGGCACTCTAGCGCCGTCTGCCCTGCTCCCCCCTTCCCCTCCCCAGCTCTCACGGCTCAGTAGACGGAGCTGTTCCTTATGCCACAGCACAGCACCATGCTCAGGATCATTTCGAAGATCTGTTGGGAGACACAGCGGCACCAGTGAGGCACTGACCAGTATGATGTGGGAGCCCATCCCGTCCTGAGGTCCTCCACCCCACATAAACACTCTCGCATCTGAGATAAGGGCAGAGATGCTGTGGTTTTGCTGCTATTTTCATTCAAATGTGGCCGATTTCAGATAAAATTATATTCTCCCCTCTCTTGCTGGCAGCAGTGATGATCCATCGAAAGCCCTGTGGCTGCCAGCTACGCAGCAAACACTTTGAGATCCCTCTGGCATTACACCCTCTGCTCACCGGGAAGCAGACACACCATGGCAAAGCAAGTTAATCCCTTCCCACTGCAGATCCCATTGACAAAACAAAACACAGTGGCCTGAGAAACAAGCGTTTTTGGAGGCAGTGAGGAGGCTCGACTGTGCTCTGCCCTTCTGGATGGGGCTGTAGGTGCCCCTGCTCTACCGCGCTTGCCAGGCACTGCCCTAACTTCCTGACCCCCTGGGGAACAGTGAAGCCCACGGTCTCACCACATAAGCCACAAGGGCATCCGGAGGAAAGGGACAGATCCATCCCAGGTGGAACAGAACCAGGGCACCCTGAGGTGACTTCTCCCCTTCCCACAACAGCAGGGCACCTTGCAGTCACACTTACCATGATCACAGCGACCACGATGGCAGCGATACCGATCAGGTACAGCTTTCCGGAGAACAGCTCATCAATTTTTTTGTGGCAGCTGGAGGCCTGAAGCAGAGAAGCATGCTGGTCAGAGAGCCTGCTATCCCCTTGCCCCCCCCCGACACCCAGAAAGGCAGCTCTGCTTCCCCCGTTGCACTCATGTTCCTGGGGCCTGCTTGTAGAACTTCACACCAGCCTTCGCCCCTCCATGCCTGCCAGCCCCTTAAGCAGGGACAGAGAAGGAAACACTGATAGAACCTCTAGTACCCCTCAGTACCACCCCAAATAAATGAAATCTCTATCTTATCTAATTCCAAATAAATCCCCAAATTACCCTGGAAGCCCCGCGTTTCCCCGTGAGAGCTATGCAGAGCAGAAAGCAGACATGCCTACCTCGAAAACAGTTTTCAGCAAGGAGTCCTTCTTCGGGCAGAGGTCCTCTCTCCACAGAGGAGTGACAGCTGCTATTGCATTATCGGGACCACAGCAGTCCAGCTACATGGAAAGAGGGGAAAAAAAAAAAATCCAACAACACAACAAAAACCCAGTGTCAGCAGACAGCAAACACGTGCAATGCTCTCCCCACCATTAAACACCCTTGAAACAACCCGAGATCGAGGAGGCATCTTGGAGGGGGAAACAAGGGAGGGGAAATAACTCTCCAAATTAGATTTTTTTCTTTCCACACAATGCAGCTGCTTCCTACAATAATCCCAGGCAGGTCTGGCATTGGTATCCTGAAGGGGACTGAACCCAACTCACTCTAGAGATTTTTTTTCCTGCTGAGCAGAGGAAGTACTAGGATTAGTTCCTCAGAGCAACATTTTCCTTCCATTGAGTTTTACTTAATCAGGAGTGCTGAGTTAAATGAAAAGCAACTTAATTAGAGCTGGGGCAGGACTTCCCAGCACAGTGCAAAGGATAAAATATTGAAGAGGGTGCAACTCTGTGACATATAAGAACATCAAACTTGACAGCCTAAGATCTGAATGTAGCATTATCTGCTTTACAGCCTACTTTTTCCATTCATTTTCCTGACCCGCATTCTCATTTCCTTTGGCTGCAAGAAGCTCCTATGTAAAGGAGATTTCTACATACAGCTTGGCAAGCAGGCAGCAAAATCCCAGTACTGAGAACACATTTGATCCAGCTCGCTCCTAAGCATCAAAAAACCCAGCGTTGCCTTCATTCCCTGCCAGAGGACTTGTAGTTCAACGTCCTGCCTCTGCCTCGGTGGGGAGATCAGTCTGCGCAGTGACAGTCGTTCCTCCCCACTTACCCACTCACAAACCACAGGTAGAAGTTGGGTGCAACTCACAGCACGCAGGATCCTACCCGCCAAGGGGTTGTTTTGGCCAACTGCACGTAGCCTAAGCAGAGCGTGCAGCAAGACCAGGAACATCTTACCGTTTCATGGAAGGTCTTCACTACAGCTCTCCCGTTGTTCGTCTCTGACTCCGCCATGAGCGCTTGTTGAAACGCTTGATCATAGAACTGCTTCACATCTTTGGCTATCTAGGAAAGAGGGGAAAAACTCCCTTTCAGCTAGAGGAGAAGGAAGCCCACCAAGCAGACGTGCCTGAAGGGGACAGGTTCCCTCTAACTGCACTCACAGGTAGGTGAGCAGTTTTTAAATAGATTTGGAGCCTGTTTATTTGCACAGGTGCATGAAAAAAGGTTTGCATTTCATAGGGCTCAAGACCCTCCAGCCATAGTGTGTCAAGAGTAGCAAATACTAAGAACCTCATCTACCAGCAAGCAGGTTCCAGCCAATGCTATCTAAGTGCTCTACTAGCTCTCTCTAGCAGGCCGACACCCAAGCCCCAGAAGGTGAACCCCAAGTTCTGAGGTAGCCTTCAGCCTGTGTGGATTTGGCTCTTGGGCTCAGGAATGCAGATATGGCTTGTCCTGAACCACCTGACCCATGGAGACAAAGCAAGCAGGCAACATGTTTCCCACCAAGGCTGCAGAGGTGGGACATGCTGGGCAAGTCAGGAGAAGGTGGGATGCACAAGCAGGGCCATCTGCAGGTACGCGCACTGCGGCTTACTGTTGGGCTTGGGGTGGGGGAGCAGGAATTTGGGAAAGATTACACACTAAAGCCTAGTGAGGGGGCTCTTTTGGGTCAGGAAGCTTTGGTGCCTTTAGATGGATGTCAGACTCTGGCAGGGTCTCTCCCTGGAGCTAGGCACCCCAGTCCTGTAAATGGTTATATGAGAAGTCTCACCCGTACTCTAGCCCTGCTATCTGGACTGGTAAACTGCAGCCACCAATGGGGAGTCTGCTCCACAATGCAAAAAAACCCTCATTTTCAGGGAAACTGGCCTTGTGGCTTCTCCTCAATAATTTGGGAGAGACAAATGAAAGGAGGACACACAAGAAAAGGAAAAGAAAAAAAATACGAGCAAGTATGAAAGGGAAGACACTTTCTAGACTGCCTGCTCTTGGCTGTGCAGGCTGGATTAGCACACAAGAAACTACAGCAAAAAGGAGCCTGATCTCAATCAATTATCCCAGCGTCTCTCTGTCGCTGTTTAAAAAACAAGTGTGCTATGGAGGGTGATGTTCTCTGATCAAACCGTTTGATTCTGGTATGCAGAAAAAAAAAAAAATAAAAATCCGACCTCTTGCCATCCTATATCTAAAGCATCTCCAAGAAGGCAGGCTGAGGGAGAGACTGCCTCCAGCTACGTGCAACAGCATCCTGTGCCTGCTTCATAGGAGATGACTGTCCCCCCAAGGGGCTGCAAACCCAGGTGGAATGGTGTCCCCACCATGAGTGGCTCTCCGTGGCTGGGATCATTCAGCGCTCTCCTCCCAGCCTGCATCACCCCTGAGATGCCCCCCACAGAGGCAAGGAGAAGCAAGCTGCCTGCCTTGGGGGTGGGGATTTCCAAACAGCCCATTCATCACTAAGTCTGCAAGAGCAACTGAGGCCAACAGGCTGCCACCGTTCATTTTAAACTGCAAAATTAATTTTAAGTGGCTAAGGTCATCGCTCTTGTATTAGCAAATCCTTAACTTTATGCTTTATGCTCTAATGGCCAAGAGCATGGAGAGCAACAGCCTTCTCTCCTTACTCAGGCTTCACTTCTTTTGGTGTCAGTTCAGTCGCACATCTTGCACTCTTCAGGATTCACAAACTAACATCTGCAAGAGGCACAGCTCCTCCACAAAGGTTAATTAGCTCACCGAAGTTGCTAGGAAACAGCACCCTGCCTGCATAATAATATGTTTAGCCACGGAAGAGTTTGTTCCGATGAAGTCATGCTCTCTCCAATGAATGACTACAAGGGTGTTCCCATTCACGGCCGAGCTGGTCATCTGTGGCCTACATGCATGTGAAAGCTGAGCAGGCCACCACCTACTTACGCAGCTGGCTTACACCTCTTAGTAAACACATGTCCTACACTGCCAGAGAGTCTAACCTTGGCTTTGAGCACAAGCGGTCCCCTTCTCTCCTCCAAACACTCAATGGTGGAGTGATGGACACTCAGCCCTCTGCTTGCTGTGCCATGGCTGTGGTTCCCATGCAGTGACAGTTTTGCTCTTTGACACCAAACTTTGCGTGCGTGCGAGCACGTGTGACCATAACGAAGGGAAGGTGAGCAAGAAAGGGAAGGTGAAAAGCTGCAATTTTCAGTCCTACCCTTTATCTATCCCCCTCCAGCTATAGGACCTCAACTGAGCAGTCCCCAGCATGGTGCCTGGGACAGAGAGATGGCTTCTACCCCTTGCGTGCACAGCATATTGATCAGCAGCAGGGTCAGTCCTGGCAGACGAACAGCCCGAAGTGAGTTATATGATACTGGCAAAGAGCAGGAAGCATTAAGCAATCCCGTCAACGCAGGCTCTCCCCGTACGGTATTCCCTCCCCTCAGGGCTGCGTGGCTGGGTTTGCTCTTTGGCACCTAGGATGTGCAGATGGCTTCCCTTCACGACTTCATCTATGAATGAGGTCACACAGTGACTGACTGTGGCAGCAAGAGGACACCCAAGTGAGACAGAGCTATTTTTATTCCAGATCTTGCACTATATACCGTATGGGGCAGCTGTTACCATTAAGTGCTCACATTTATAGTTCATCAGCCTGGCCAAAAGGAGTTAGGTGACCTGCCCGGATCACACCACTAATCCAAGCCCCCACGACTCAGTCTGGGAGCAGCTCACAAGCAAAACACCTCATGCCGGGATCTGCTGTGGTTCTACCCCAGCCTCTCAGTCCCACAAGTGCAGGTTTGGGAGTCATCTTACTTGGTCTTTGTTGACAAATCCCCAAATTCCAGCCGCAACTTCACAGGCGAACAGGATCACCAGGCAAGTGAAGAACTGCAAAGACAAATCAAGAGAGGGACAATTAACATACCTGACTACAAGCAAAACCAGCAATTAAGCGGGCAGAGGTGTGGAGCAGCACTTCTACTGATGGAGGAGATCAGAGCAAGGCTTCACCTGGCTGCAGTTTATCTCTCATACACACACTTAGCCCAAACACATTTTCCTATAACTCACTGGATGCTACCCCATGTCCAGACCTCCCGCTGGGATGGTGGAGCCGGGATCAGCACAGCCTTTCCCACAGAGGGACTGGTAGGAACGAGGATGCCCTGTACACCACAAGACGCATTGCTCCTCTTCATGTGGCTGCAGGACTATCCAGATGAGCTTCTTGCTCTACCACAGATGCTCCAAAGATGGGAATTGCCAGTTCAGGGTTAAAAGCACATTTCAGCTGCTGAGGAGCTGCAGGGCGTCAGGGTGTGATTTATGGCCAGCTCTCTTGGCATCCACAGCCCTGCAAGGCTACTGCAGTTTTTTGCATAAATATTAACACTGATGTTTTCCCACAGTCCCACCCTCTTTGTGCAATTCCAGCACTCCTCCCTGCCATCCCCCCAAAGCCTCCCTCCATCCTTTTGTTTAGATCTTGGGAACGCATTGTGACAGTTGATCCGTTAGACTGGGAATGGGAAGCTGTAAAGCTCATACATCAGAGTCAAGTGAGAGGGCACGTACAGCCAACTTTACCTCCATGACAACATCACCCTCAGTGACTTCTTCCTGGGAAAAGCCCGAGATCGGGAGAGTTGCCATGGAAGTAAAGAAGCAAGAGAGGCGAATGCAGTCAGGGGAAGACAAAATCACAGTATGGGGTGGGACAACAGCCCCTGGATTCTGGGCAATCTCTGTTCCAGACACATTCAGGACATTTTCTTCAACAACAGAGGAAATGAGAATTTCCAGAATGACCTGACTTTCATGTGGGAGAGCAAAGAGTTATCAGCAAAATGCAAACAGGACTATTGACTTGACAGCAGGAAAGGACTTCCAACATCCTTGTCTAATTCCCAAACAACCAACTTCTGTTTAAACACCTGTCCAGTTCCCAAACAACCAACTCCTATTCAAACACCTATCTATTCCTTTGGGGACTGGGTCCCACATATCCCCCAGGATCCTTAAATTGTGGGTGTGATGCCACTGTAATTCTCTAATTAAGCACTAGGGCTCACTCTTGCAGTGGTTACCTTCCAGTGAAGGATGGCTCATTTATCCCAGATTTGGAGGTAGAACTTCCCACAGACTCGGTTCTCTGAGCTGGCTACAAAACACCAGAGATGCAGCTGGATGCTATGGGAACACCGTGATGTTCCTGGCTGGGTGGTTGGATGTGCCCCAGTCCCTTCCCAGGGAGCAGAGCCCTCTCCATGCCGAGCGGCTCCATACTGCTTTCTTCAGGTCTCACCACCCAGCTTCCCTGCTGCCTTCAGCACGAGATTTTGATAGTGTGGAAGTTCCTGGTACTTTCCCCTCTTACAATAAACTTACAGGAACTCCATCAGCTGGCTGCAGGAGAGGGGAGAGCAGCTGCTTCCCTGCAACACCCTAAGGATGTTGCCTGGAAATGTCCTTGGAGCACGGTGGGAGCCTTGGCCAGCAGAAAGAGTCATCGCGAGGTGCCCCGAGCCTTCTCTTGGCAAGCCAAGGTGCGAGCAAACCCAGGCAGCACACAGCAGCTAGAGTTGCTAATTTCAGCCAAAGCAGCCGGTTTCACTGTCGGGCCTCAGGTACTTTGTACCATCTGCCCTTCTAATCCTCTTTCCAACTTCAAGAGGGAGTGAGGGGTAATTCAGGTTCTGTAATCACTCGTGTTAACAAAAAAAAATAATCCAAAGCTGCCAGACCTTGCTACAAGAACCCCTGTCAGATTTGTGCACCGGCTCCTCCTTTTCTCAGCAGCAGTGGTAATGCCTGCAAACTCCTGCAGTAGCTCTCATCCACCGACGTTCAGAAGGGTGAACGAGAAAGGCTTTCTTTATAAAAGCTGGGGAGAATCACCCCCTTCTTATTGGGAAACAGAAGTAACAAGAAGTGAAGCCATCTCTGAGAGTGAGGGAAAGCAGCTCCATTTCCTTCTGTCCCAGTTGAATCCACATCTATGGGTCACTACACCACCAAGAATCTTCCAGCCCAACAAAGCCAAGTGCTGGAAAGCCCTTCCAAGTTTTTTTTTTTTA